GCTTTTACTGGGAAATAAATAATGCCCCACAACTTACGCTTGGAATATAATAATGCATTATGCAGATTTCAGCTGCCACTGTTTTTATAGAGAGCTTACCTTTCAGTAACTTTGCTTAGTAACCTCATTAATGCTACGTTATTGAATAGAATATAACTATAATAGTCATATGTTTTAATGCAAGTGAAATATTCTTGTACATTGCATCTTGTAGAAAGAGAACTCATAACTTCCTCTCAGCAAGCAGAACATGTTCTTTCTTAAATCCTGAATGTTGTGAAGAAACTTTCACATATAACAAGGGCAATTTTAACGCTTGAAAACTTCTCCTTTAGGAAAGAGCTTTCACATTTGAGGAGAGGACAGTATGCTGCAGGCGTTTTTTATAATTTGATGATTGTTGGAAGCTCTAAGCTTCTAATCCTTGCACTGCTGCTTGTTGCTGTTGCTGCTGGGGAAGCTGGGGAAGCTATACTGATACCGTCCACAGTGTTTCCCACCATGTTGTTAGTAAGGGCACTGTCTCATATGATTGCTGACCACATAGGACATGCTGTTATACACGTCTCTAGAAGTAATGTCACATTAAACAGAGTGCAGGTATAGTTTAATTGTACCACTAGAATCACATTAGAACAAGAATGAAACTTGCATATGTATTTGAGTTCTAGGTTCACATTAGAAGAGAAATGAAACTTGCAACTAGTTCACTTTTTATGTACCGACACTGTAAGTGTCTGTGTTATGTCTGATTCCTGTATTTGTCCATGGCTTCACTGTAGCCATGGCCGATGCATTCCCACTTACACATCAACACATATAACTGCCAAACCATGTTTTTGGTTACCTTTAAATTTACTTAGAGGCTTTTTCTTGGTTAATAAAAGATACCTTGTGAAATTTACAAGACTAGATTATTTTTACAATTTTTTTTTTTTACCTAGATCTTATTGAATCTGTTAGAATCTGTCTGTATATGTGACCTCTCATTCGATGTCTAGGTTTTAAAAATGATAAAAACCCTCAGTTTTTCTCTAGATCTGTTTTTGATGATTTTAGAATCCTTTCATTGTTTCTTGGTTAGAAAAGTATTTTATCGANCTTGCGTAACACCTTCGGTAAAATGCAATACTTCCGGAAAGATGGACGTTTTGGCAGATGCCCCTAACAATCCGACGATATCAAAGGTTTCCATTTGCTGTATTTTAATCAATTCGACCAAACTGACATTTCCATGAAATTAATTAATTAATCTTGGTCGAATTGTTTGGCATATTACCGTATATACAGCACAGAGAGCAAGCAGGAAATCACTTTCATGTCTTTTGGTGTTTCGCATAGTAATACTATTTGAAACTTATGGTGGCATTTGGTCAGCTTTTGCGGCATAAAAGTGACTTCAGATGCATCTTTAAGTATGCTCAAGAATTATGAGCCATTGTGTGTCATTAGGAACAAGCTTCTTTAGAATTTATTCATATATTGTCTTTTTTTTTCTGTGAGGTGGTTTTGTTGCTTACTATTTTGCTGCCAGACCTATGAAAAAAATGTCACATTTTGAGAAAATTAGGGTAACCTTGGAGGAACTGCCATGAATGTTAATAACATGTTTTGTGCTTTTTGAGAATCTCTCAGATACAAAGTGTGCCCTTGAAAATAACAATTAACATATATTGTATAAAATGCCTACTGTAAAACCCTAGTATTTTTTGCTTTTTTTTCTTCCATTTTCAAAAATTGAATAAAAATTACCACACTGCCATAAACTGTTGATACAGCATCGATCTGTTACTTTCTTCCTTTATTTTCATAATATTAAGGATGGACTGTACTGGTATACTCAGTTGCAGTTTTTTTGTAATGGGTGACACTTTTTTCACTGAAAGTTAGTTTTGAATTTATCCTGTTTCTCCCTATTTTTCTGCTTTGCTCCTTTTATATATGTATATCAGTTTATGCAGTAAGTTGTGTGCCATGCTCGTTTGCATGAATGCTTTTCAAGCCTGCTTATTAATAGCACCTTGATAACTTAAGATATTGCCACTCGTATTAGTAAATTTTAACTGCTTTTCTGTGCATACATATCAGCTTTTACTGGGAAATAAATAATGCCCCACAACTTACGCTTGGAATATAATAATGCATTATGCAGATTTCAGCTGCCACTGTTTTTATAGAGAGCTTACCTTTCAGTAACTATGCTTAGTAACCTCATTAATGTTACGTTATTGAATAGAATATAACTATAATAGTCATATGTTTTAATGCAAGTGAAATATTCTTGTACATTGCATCTTGTAGAAAGAGAACTCATAACTTCCTCTCAGCAAGCAGAACATGTTCTTTCTTAAATCCTGAATGTTGTGAAGAAACTTTCACATATAACAAGGGCAATTTTAACGCTCGAAAACTTCTCCTTTAGGAAAGAGCTTTCACATTTGAGGAGAGGACAGTATGCTGCAGGCGTTTTTTATAATTTGATGATTGTTGGAAGCTCTAAGCTTCTAATCCTTGCACTGCTGCTTGTTGCTGTTGCTGCTGGGGAAGCTGGGGAAGCTATACTGATACCGTCCACAGTGTTTCCCACCATGTTGTTAGTAAGGGCACTGTCTCATATGATTGCTGACCACATAGGACATGCTGTTATACACGTCTCTAGAAGTAATGTCACATTAAACAGAGTGCAGGTATAGTTTAATTGTACCACTAGAATCACATTAGAACAAGAATGAAACTTGCAACTAGTTCACTTTTTATGTACCGACACTGTAAGTGTCTGTGTTATGTCTGATTCCTGTATTTGTCCATGGCTTCACTGTAGCCATGGCCGATGCATTCCCACTTACACATCAACACACATAACTGCCAAACCATGTTTTTGGTTACCTTTAAATTTACTTAGAGGCTTTTTCTTGGTTAATAAAAGATACCTTGTGAAATTTGCAAGACTAGATTATTTTTACAATTTTTTTTTTTTTTACCTAGATCTTATTGAATCTGTTTGAATCTGTCTGTATATGTGACCTCTCATTCGATGTCTAGGTTTTAAAAATGATAAAAACCCTCAGTTTTTCTCTAGATCTGTTTTTGATGATTTTAGAATCCTTTCATTGTTTCTTGGTTAGAAAAGTATTTTATCAATAAAGAATACTTGTAATTATTTTATCTTTCCAATGGGTAAAAGTTAATTGATCAATTATTCAGACACATAATTTTTAAATCATAAAGTTAGATCTCTTAGACTATGTAGCACTCGGGGTGTTTTACTGCATAGAAATCTGTAAATCTGTAAAAAAAAATCTGTGAAAATGATGGCAATACACCTAGGCTTCATTCACATGCAATGTCTATTTTCTAAATTCTATTTTCTATTCGCGGTATGTCTTATGATCACGGTCTGTGCCCTGAATATCCCGTGGCGTAATTACTGGCAGCGCGAGCCAGTTACTATAAGGGCACAGACCGTGATCATAAGACATACCGCGAATAGAAAATAGAATTTAGAAAATAGACATTGCATGTGAACGAAGCCCTAACCCCTCTTACCACAAGAGATTACTGAGACTTCTAAGAGTCATCATAAGTAATGAATATTAAAGTTTACCACATTACACGTGTGGTTATAGGGGAGCCCTAGTTCAACTAGGGTAACAATCCAGAAAATAAACAACAAATGCTGAGGGAATTTTAAAAAATGCCTCGGTTTCATAATAGAATACAGAAGGATTTCTTATTTAGCAGCAAAGGGAGTGTAAGAAAAACCCATTGGACTAGCTGGATCGGTCCAACTCTGCGGGAGATTCTCCTTAAGTACAATCACTGTAATCGGCTTAAATATCTGACACCTCTTTGAGTTGCTAGGGGGTATTTAACTAATTAACTTGCTGCTCAAGGAGGCGTTTCAAACAATTTAGCTTATGTCACTGAATGCGAGAATCCTTCCCGGCAAGCTAGGTCGCCTTAACTCATTCTGAACAGGCCCATTGAGAATTGATAGGTTGGAAGTCCTACAAAGATTGCACCCGCCAGCAGGGTCACAGATAAATATACACAGATTTGTCTCTGGCTAATGTTATGTACTTTTCTCTACTATGTTCATGAAGAACTTTGGTATAGACTTATAATTACTCATAACATACAGCTGACATATAGAGTACAAGGATTAGATATTTTGACAATTATCTTTTAATCATTTATTCAGGGATGAGGTTTTTTCCAACTAGCAGTGGATTTCCAACTGTTCGGGAACCCGAAATATCATTGGCCTAGGCGGCCCCTGGACCCCATGTCATATTTGCCAACTTTTTCCCTAAATTGCAATCTTCTCCCTGTTCATTGTTTCAAAAAATCTCTCTCAGTGATCAATATTGATGCTCATCTGGCACAAATTCTGAAACATTATGGAAGTAATAAAAAGTCTGATGTCCTTGGTTGATGATGATAAGTACCTTTTGTCTATGTTGGATTTTTATTTAGCTTTTTGAGATAGAGAGCTGCTAGTCTTTCAAATGTATACAACATGTCTATAACATTGCCTTTGCACCTTGGTTTGTTGTGCTAGCTTTGTGCCATGTTCTAACATTTAATATATATTTACAATTTGTGTGCCCTGCTTTTAAGTATAATTTTGAATTTAAGCACATATTTCTATGATGCTTTTTTTTTTTTTTTTTTTTTTTTTACAAACAAAGCTTACTCCGGATAATTCAGTTAGATTAAGTAGCTTTATTGATGTGATTGCTTTTATTAAGCTGATGACTTTCTTGCTTACCAAGTGTCCTGCTTTACCCAGTACTCTACCACTGCCACCATCATAGAGGTGTCAGGTGTATTGTATTGTATTGTATTTATTCCTCTCACTCCCTGTGCTTTCAAAACTTAGGAACATTGCAAGTCACATATTTTAGCACCAAGAACATCTATAAATATATGAATTCTATTTTTTTAATTTATTTATTTATTTATTTTTGTATTTGGATTTCTACATTTTTTTGTTTTAGGCAGGAAATGTTCCGCGTTTCGAGATGTCACTACTCTGCAGGATTCTTTTATAATCTTTTGGGGCTCTCAGGGGTGAGGCTTTTGCTCCTCGCCTTTGTCATAGCTGTGGTTGTCACCAGTGACATTACTTTGGGCCCCAGTGTTGTCTTTCCGTTGATTCTGTACGTTCACTTCCTATCGGACATGGTGTCCGACCAGGTTGGAAATGCGCTGATATATGGTGGTATGGGCTATACTACTGTGAAGCGTGTTCAGGTATTGGTTTGTTTGTTTGTGTATTTTGAATTATCCTGTTACTTGTTAAAAGTACAGAAGGCAATATTTTTTTGACAGAATCATGCAGGTTTTGATATTGATTATGTGACTTGAATATGGCATATTTGAAACATTGCAAGTAAATGAGTTTGAGCTTTAGTCAAAACATGAATTTAAGATCACTATTTGTGGTTTATGATGACAATTAAGAGATTGTGGTGGAATCCAGACTTACTAATTCAAGAAGATAATGAAAAACTGTATTTTATACACTCAAAAGATGCATTTGGCATTACTGTAACAGCAAACTTAAAAAACACAACCAAAATCTTTTTCTTAGGTTATTTATCGCCAATAATTTGCCCTCTATACCTTTAACATTGTCACCCCATTGCCACCCCAAAAACCCACCCCCACCCCCCAATCCACCCCTACCTCCTAATCCACCCCTATCCCTACCCCCTAACCCCCCAACCCCTATTCCAACCCGACCTCCTAGTCCACCCCTACCCCTTAATCCAGTCCCTTGATATTTGCTAATGAAAATGGTCCTTTATTACTCTACAACTATCCATAATTAGATTTTAAGTCTGAATGCTGTGCTTTTAATTAGTAAATATGGATGCTGGTCGCAGATACATAGAAATGCTGCATGCTGGGTTTGGGCATTTTGCTTCAAAATTTTTTTTTTTTACTGGCACACCTCAATTTTACTGGCATTTGGAGTGTGGCTATTGGATATAGTTACAAACTGATGGCATTCCAGTATAAGTGTCAATTTCTTGGCTGACGTTAATTAACTCTTGTCTGTGATTGGTCTTCTGGGGTCTGGCAGGGTAACTTGATTTTGCCTTAAAGACTCTCCTAAACTTATGTGTAATGGGTTATAAGTTTCAATTAATGGTTCATTCAAGTGACATTTTCAACAAGATTTTTCCGTAAAGGTGGTAATGCAATTTTCAAGTCAAAATGATATGAAGTATATAAGCTCAGGTGTATGCTGAAGAATTTGTTTGTGCTCAAAATATTAACTGCAACATCGTGAGTGGTGAGAGTTATTCCAGAATGGGCAACACCACCCCAAATATTAGAGATAAAACTTTCCTTGATTAATCTTAAAATCTGGATGTTTATGTATTGGATATACAAAACCTCCCATATAGAGCTTCATGTCTTTGGTGCTTGTATTTACTGGATTTTTTTAAAGGTCCCATTTCATGTCTGCCATTTTGAATCCAGAAGGTCAGTTCACTGTGGTAGTTTAGGCTTCTTTCATAAGTTTTTGAAGAGAGGTGCCATTGATTTGAAAAAAATAGAATGCTGCAATAAACAAATCTTTTAGTTGTTTGCAGACTACAGCAGCTTGCGTTCCCCCTCCCCCTCCCACCTTTTTACTTGCTTTAACCGGATGCAAGTCATTTGGCAAGATAAGATAATCATAAGCATTTAATTTGGTTATAAGGAATGCAAAAGCAGCAGCTAGCTTGCAATGCCTCTTTATTGTTTGATTTAGGATCCTAGCCTACATGTTATTGTTGGCGTCTTTTAAAGCTTTCAGAAAATGTTCCCAGCGCATTGCATGTAGTTGTCTGCCTGTTTGTGTTCTGTTATTTTCCATTAATGATGTCAGTTTGGCCACCTCTTTGTAGTAAGGGATTTGGGCTGCCTTAAGCTTGGACTCTCTAAAAATGGAGGAAAAGATCTAATCCTTACAGTAACTATACCTACCATAACTACTTGCACCCAAGAGTACATTTATTTCTGGGAAAGTTCTACGTTAAGTTCTAGGAGAAAAAAACCTATCAGCGCTGTATATTGATTCTCTGTAGGAATGAGACAATTTGGTTGTGGCAGGGGATGAGGAGACGTGCTGTTTTCTACACGGTGAAAGAATTGGGTGCTAAACTGATGAGCTATCCAGCCATTGTAGTCTATTCCATCACCTCAAACTTTCTCGATCCCTTGGTTATATTTCCGTCAGTTGCCATAATGGCGGCCATTCGCGCAGGCATACAGAGGGTCGGTCGTGGGGCTGAGTGTTTGGGAGAGCTCTTATCAACTGGGTTCAGGATCCAGGTGAGGTGCCTCTTGATAATTATGTGAGGTGTGGTGTGGCAGCCACAGATACTGTTTGTTTGAGTGCTCAGGGAGGCGAGAGCATCAGCACCAAATCTGTATCTTGGCTAAAATTGGCCAGGCGCCCATAATTACTACAGTACAATTTCTTTCATGTATGACTTTAACCCTATGGGTTGCAATTGTTATGAAGTTATTATTGTTATATTTTGATGGGAATTCATATATTTTCATGGAAATTCATATTATTATTATTATTATTATTATTATTATTATTATTATTATTATTATAAAGATCCAGCAGCTAAGTAGCACTCACATCTGATTTTTTTTTTTTTTTTGGTGGAACTTATCATGGTGATGTTAGCATGTGTAGTTACTCAAAATTGATCTAACTTGGACATTTTTAGTGCTGAATTAGCCACAGTAAAAAATTCAGCAGAAACTGAGCTACTTATTTGACAAACATTAACTTAGTCTTGAATTTATTCTGGCTAGATTTTGAAGCATGTCATAAATTTTTGCAGATTCAACTAGCAATTTGAAGGCATTGATTAAGGGATTTATCTTTTAAGGGATACATTTTTCAAATAATTCATCTAACAATAGAGCCTATATATTGTTTTAGGTATCATGGTTTCCACAGACAGACACTGACAGATATGCTTTGTCAGGAAAAATGAACACTTTTTTTTCTGACATTTTAGCTAGTTAAAGTTTGTCAAAACATTTTTATAATAAAACCTGAAAAAGGGACATTATTTTTTTTAGAAATATTGTAATGTGGGTGAAGGTTAGATAATATGTTTTATATGATAACATGTATATAGTCTAAATATGAAGTGTTTGAAATTAGTTCTTTTTAGGTGTTCAAAATTCTTAGGTTACTACCAGTAGAAATTATAGGTTACAGTATGTTGCTGTTATTTACAGTTTATAAACTACTTGGCTTTATTCCATTCTGCTCTCTTTCCATATATATCACACATCTGCCTTGGCAATACAGTTTAATGTTATACCATGGCAATATTAATCAATACTCTCAGTGCTTTTTGGTTATCCATGCCCTATAAAGCTTGGATATTGTATTTATCCAGTAACAAGAAAATCTTTTTAATATGGCTGCATACTTTTTAAAATAAAAGCACTCATAGTGACATTTTCATGATGATAATGATAATATAGTTGTATTTATAAGTCGATTTTTTTACTATTTCATTTATTTTTTTCTTTGCTAATCTAGATTAATTCATGCATTGTCATATATGCATATAGCACATAAAATACAATTATAGTTATGCAGTAGATTTAATGTGGTGAGTTGTGGTATAATATGCAATTGAAAGTAAGAGACTATGTATCTGTAGGAATCAGACTGCATATAAACAGAAATACACATGCAACTACCAAAAACCAAATTAATTAGACTTCAAGCACTTTTTGAGAAATGGGAAGAATAATTGTAAACTGTTTTTGTAATTTGGATGTGTTTTGTAGGAGTTTCTGCTCCTTGAAGAGTTGGGAAGCGACACGTGTGTGGAGCAATCGTTTCCCGAAGGAAAGAACAGGAAGTGTGGTGTTATTGTTGACAAAGTTACAGCCTCTTGGGAAAAGGTGATAATATGGCGCCTCAACTTAGCAATTCGTTCATGAAAATTTCCTGGAATAATATGTTTATAATATTTATGTGGATTTGGTAAAGGATTAATTAACTTCGAACAAACATTTTATTTTATGAGATAAGATTAAACACATATATAATTTTGCTGAATTTTGATTAAACACATATATAATTTTGCTGAATTTTGAAGTATGATATTGTAATATGTTTCATTTTGATTTAAAGTGATTTTTTATGTAGATTAATGGAAAAAAAACAATTTTTTGTTGAGAATTAAGTAGAAATGAAAGAGAAAAATTTACCCTTTTGTGCATTCATCAATGAATATTGTTTTGTTTTTTGTATTGTTATTTTCATTAGGAGGTGGAGGCACCTACATTAAAAGAAGTCAGCTTTCAGCTCACAGAAAATAAACTCTTGTCTGTGATTGGTCCAGTGGGATCTGGCAAGGTAACTTATTTAGGTCTGGAAAAGCTGCTGAAAAAGCAGGCTTTGCCAAAACAGGCCTATGTCTTTAAAAATGCCAGTTTTGAACCTTTCAAAATGCTCCAAATCTATGTTCTGTCTTGTTGAAGCAAATTTGTCTTTTAACTATTTGTATAGATTTATTTTATAATGTCACTGAAAAAATGTTTATGTTCAGTTTTCTGATATAATTTTGAGTGGATAGTCAATAGATTTTGATTTTAATTGATATTTTGTGCTCCATCTCTTTACTATTAGTAGAAATGAGATACTTTATAACCACTTTTACTCTCTTCAGTCTTCTCTACTCATGGCCATCTTGAAGGAGCTCCCACTCTCTAAGGGCAGCATCAAAATCACAGGGAAGATCGCATATGCCTCTCAGCAAGCCTGGATCTTCTCTGCCAGTGTCAAACAAAATATCATATTTGGGCAAGAGTTCAACAAAGCCAAATATGACAGGGTTATTAAAGCATGTGCACTCACAAAGGTAAGTTTTTTCAATACAGGAATAAAACATTTATGGCACTGTACTCGTACAGAAAAATGAATTGTTTTAGCTCTTGGAATTTCATATTGGTATATCTTCAAGTCTCTGATACAGCTGCCCCAGAATGTTTTGAGATATAGACAAATTAAAAGCCTATCTGTCTGTTATACACCCAATCAAAGAAGTTTAAAAAAAAAAACATGAAATAATTTTAAAAAGCAAAAAATGTGTAATATAGTGGGGAAATCTTCATTGTATATGAAAAATGACAAATGGTAACAAATCGATATTTGGTTAAAATATTTACCTAAGCTCTCATGATTATTTTATAATTAATATTCAAAACAACGATGTTTGGTAACTACTATGGTCGAGTGTAGAAAAGAGTCTTCTAGTTATAGCCCCCACACTCAACTTGGCCGTTTGAAAAAAACTTCCACTTTAAAAGCTGATATCAAACTTAAGGAGAATTGGTGAAAGGGAATAAAGTCCCCTGTAGTCTAATTACACAGTAGCACCTTGTATTACTATGGTAAAAGGCTTGCTATAAAAAGGCCTTTGGTGCATAGAGAAAAAAAAAACTTTTGTCAAACTCTGACCACTTGAAATATCACTTGCTATTTGCCTGGAGTGTCTGTGGCCTTATGTCCCACTTGGGACGAAGAGCATTGATGATGATGATTTGCCTGGAGTAATTATTTTCTGATATTTAGGACATACAGGCGCTTCCAAATGGTGACATGACCTTGGTTGGTGAGCGAGGGGTCAGTTTGAGTGGAGGTCAAAGGGCAAGGGTCAGTTTGGCCAGGGCTGTGTATTTTGATGCTGATGTCTACCTCCTGGATGACCCCCTTAGTGCTGTGGACACTGCAGTGGGAAGACATCTGTTTAACCAGTGAGTTGATACTTCATTTTTGAAGTCAACTTTTGAACAGAAAAAAATCAACATTCAAATTGGTTATTTGAGAATGATATTGGAAGTGAATATTATCTTCTACTTTTTCTTGACTTTCTTCCTCTTCTACATTTTCTTCACAATCATTTAAGTCTTCATGATCTTCATCTTGTTATATCTCTTCTTCTTTTTCTTATTGTTATTATTATACTCCCCTCAGGTGCATCAATGGCTGCCTGAAGGACAAGCCCAGGATTCTGGTGACACATCAGCTTCAGTATGTGGAGGCCTCTGACCAAATCTTGATACTCAAGGAGGTGAGTCATTAGCTAGGAGATATTTTACCTTTCAATAGCCATGCAGGTTTTTATTTATTTATTTATTTATTTATTTATTTATTTATTTATTTATTTATTTATTTACTGTATTTATTTATTTATTTATTTATTATTTGATATATTCGTGTTTTTTCTTGATTTTGTATAATAGAAGCACATAGGCAATAGTAAAAAACAAAAGATTAAATACACTAAATTTTGTATGCCAGCATTCAAAAGAACAAATGTCCACTTTTATTTATCAAGAAATCTTTTTGCCATCATGCAACATTTTGCTTCAAACATACATTCCATCTGGCAAGTTCCAATTCCTACCTTATTAAGGCATACCACTTCAATAGTTCTGACAATTCTAGTCCATCTAATCTATTGGTATTCATTCTATTGTCTACAGGGAGAGATGGCAGGGTTAGGGACCTTCAGTGAGCTTGTCAGCAAAGGTATTGATTTTGCATCACTGTTGAGTCCAGAAGAGGAAGAGAGGGATGAGGGAAGCACCTGTACCGATCCAGACATTCAGTTCACAGTAGACACTCCAAAACTGTCACACAAGCCACACCTATCAGTCTCTCATCCACAACTGCCAATCATTGAAAAACTGAGAGCACAGAATGACTTGGCAGTTTTGATGAAGGACCAGAAAAAACAGGGCAGCGGTGGCGTCGGTGGTGGTGGCGGCAGTGTCGGATCTAGTGCTGGTTCGAGTCGGAAAACCAGCCCACGTTCTTCAGGCGATCGACTCCATGTTGTCCCCACGGATGTTCAGTTGAGTAAGTCCCACCCCAACATTGCAGCCTGGAAGCCATTGAAGAAGAACGCCTTGCAGACTGCTTCCACATACTCTTTGTCTTCCAAAGTTTCCTTGGCTAATGACTACAATCCCTACCTCTCCGTAGGGAAGTCCATGCTGTCCTTGCATAGTTTTATGGATATGGACCAGGTAAGTTTTTGCAAAGTAAATGAATGAGTGAGTGAGCAAGTAACAAATTAAAGAAATAAAAAACAACAAGCAAGCAATAGAATGAAATCAAGCTGCAGTTTCATTCTGTATAATATTTGTTTTTCTTTCCCAATGTGGATAGGTGTTTTCATCCCTTGGTCCATTGTTATGTATGTATGGTTCATTTGAACAATGTAATGTCTGTTTTCATCGTTTTCTTGCTCACTTCTTTTCCATCTCAACTTGCTAGACTTTTCTTTTTTGCTTATCACATCAGTAGCATATTTCTATAACTTATTATCTCTTACCTTTCCTGCTTTGTAGAGTACACCTTTGTTTAATCAAGTTTTCAATTATTAAGTGTAAGACATAGTGTGATAAGGGTCTCAACCATTACTATCACAGCATTGCAGAAATATGTCAGAAATAAATATGTTGATAACGACATCACATGCTTTATTTTATCTGCAGCCTGACTATGTGCCAGCGCAGGAGGAGGAGCAACGAGCAGAGGGATCCGTGGGCTGGAAGATTTACAGGGACTACTTCAAGGCTGGGGGAGGGTGCTGCGTGTTCCTGTTGCTCGTCACACTCAATATTCTAGCTCAGGTGGCCTACGTGATGAGTGACTGGTGGCTGTCATACTGGTATGAAGGGAGAGGGGTGACATGAGCTGAGGCTTATTGTCTGCTTATTAAAGTCAGAAAACTATATGCACACAAACAGGCATGTGCATGCATGCAAACATACACACACACTGGTGGCTGTCATACTGGTATGAAAGGAGGGAGTGACATGATCAGAGCCTCGTGAAGCGTTCAGATAAACCCATCTTATTGGCAGGAGATCCTTGCTAAGTGCAACCACTGTAATCAGCTCAAATGTCTGACACATCTCCTAGAGCTGCAGGGGGGTAATAAAGCTGAATGCACACGATAGTTAATTACCCCCTAGTGAAGATGAATACAATTTAGTGGGAATCCAATCCCCCCCCCCCCCCCTCCAGCAGAAGTTGATCAATCCAACTGGTACCTGGTACGATGTTCGAATCTTATTGTCTGTTAATGAAAGTAAAAAAGCCATTTTCACGTATGCAGGCATGTGCATGCATGTGCTCATGCAGTGACGCACGCGCACACACACACACACACACACACACACACACTGTTGGCTGTCCTACTGGAAACTAGATGAGGGGTTCTATGTTTTTAAATGTCTTGTTAATTAGTTTTTATATGGAGGTTGCTGGTGGTTCTGAGCCTCACACTCATGATGTAAATTATCCTTAAATTATCAACAGCTTTGTACTTTCAATAATACTCACAGGAATCATAGAATGGAAATAAAGAATATGTACAGACAGGGCTTGACACTAACTTTTTTTGATACTGGCCCGAGATATTGGTAAATGTTGCAAGGATGATTTGACACATGACATTTTACTTGCCCTTTGGGCCAGTGACCCCAGCGATTCAATGGCCCTAGGTTGGTTTTCAGTGGCCCAGGGCCAGTGGTCCACCCTTAATGTCAAGCCCTGACAGACATACTTATAGATATACACAAATGCATTGTTGATAACTTAGAAAATTGTCAAATATTGGACAGAAGCGTGGGAGAAAAAGCTGTTTGAATATTCCAGCACATTATACTGAATAAGCTTTCCCCTTACTTGACTCACCTCTACCAAAACAGATAACCTATATATAACTTTTTATGTTTTATAGGTCAAATCAAGAAGAACACAAGGCATCTCTTTCTGCTCGACACCAATATCTTCTTGAGCAGGGGTACAATGTCACCAACATCACAGTTCCCAACGTTGACACAAATTTAAACATCTACATCTTCACGGGACTGACCGTCAGCGTGTTTATGTTCGGGCTGCTGCGCGCACTAATGTTTTTCAAAGTTTGTGTCGATGCTTCCAGGAACCTTCACAACAAGATGTTCCACAGTATAATACGTGTGCCTGTCTATTTTTTTGACACTAATCCTGTAGGTGAGTGAAAATGTTATGATTTACAGGTAAATGAAATGTTATATGCATTGTAAACAAAATAATGTTTGAATCTTATGATAATTATATAATATTGTTGATATATAACATTAGTTACTGGTACCAGATATATCCAGCAAAAGGGGTGCCTGTAAAAGTGATTTTTTTGTGCAACTGAGTAAAGTGATAAGGTTGCTCTATAAATGAGTTCAGAATGGTTTCTACCCATAGAGGATGACCAAACCTGACTAAAAACATACCTGAATCCTGGAGTTGTTTTTACAACTTCTAAGCACCTAAAAGTGGTTGGTAGTTGCTTGATATGTGTAGGGTAATGACTTGATCTTTTCAAGAGGCAGAAATTATCAAACTTTCAGGTACATGATTTTATAATCCCAAAATTATATTGCTTTATAACGTTTGTGGTGTGTTTACTGCATAGAATAGAACCATAGAGCAGTCTATTCTTTAATTATTTTGGTAACACTCGATAGGAATGTTCTAACATCAAGAAATTATGACCTAAAAATACATTATCTGTAAAATTCACAATTTGTTGAAAAGATTGAGTAATTACAGTAATTACTCCATGGTTTTGTTCGTTGGTTTGTTTAATCCCTATTGTTTTCCAGGGAGAGTTCTGAACAGATTCTCCAAGGACACAGGCACCATGGACGATTATTTAGCTGAGGTGTTTTTTGACTTCATTGAGGTATCTTTTTCACATTTGATTTCAGGTTTTACCCTTAATTTTCACCCTTTTTGTTCTTCTAGATTCTTTGTGCAGACACTAACACTCCACTGCTTTATTTATTTTTGCATACAATGTGTAGGATTTTGTTCTTGATGCTCCCTATTTATTTCAGTGAGAGAATGCAACCCTTTTGTATGTCCCTTTTGTAGGCCATGTTCACTGCTAGACCATTTTAGGACAAAAATTGCCATGTATGGATATCTGGAATAAAGTAGCTATATTCTTAAATGAGAACTGAACTACTTTTTAAAGAGTACTTTTAAGAAGATATATTCAGTAGGAGGGATATACAGGTTGCTGACCGTGATGTATCTGTTTTATTACGCTGAAAATGTCGCGAACAAATGACCAATATGTGAATGGCATGCATGTTTATGAGATCTGGGTGTTTTTTTTTTTTCTCAACATCCACCTTGGTTTACCTTATTAGTACTGTCAGTCTGTTTGTACATGTTACTTACCCCTAGTATAACTAATAAACATTATTAAAAAAAGCCTGCATCATGAGATTTTATTAACAATTTTTGATGGATGTCTTTCTGTGCTTGGGGGTCTTATATTTCCCCATGTTAATTGCATGTCATTTGTATTAATCAGTAACATTTCTTTTAATGAAGGCCACTATCACAAAGCATATTTTCACAGCTGACTGCATGGCTGGCTATATCAGCAGTGAAAAGTGAAAAAAATATTTCACCATCAGTTTAGTACATGGGTGTTTAACCTGAAACACACCGATAATCTTTTGTGCCTATTTTTTACCATGCAAAATCTTGTAATAATGTAGTAAGGTTATACTGTCTGTCAACCTTGTGCTACAAAAAAAAAAAATGATATATCAATGATAAATCAAAATAAATAAAGATTGCAAATTGAAAATAGAACAACGTAAGTTGCATGCATATGATACTCCATAATACAACCTGTACCAGTAACCCAGTAAAGATTTTGCCGTCTTCTGAACTCTTTTTTTTCCTGGTATGCTGCATAATAAATAACAAGTTTAAATTCTACTACACCTTTTTTTACTGAGAGCATGGTCACACTTTGGATCTGCTCAGTCCATGATGTAGCTGGGAAGCACACAAGTCGTGCTACTTTTGTATGTGGAACTCTAAAGTATTTCTAACAGTCACTAACCAGTATACTACTATGTAGGTCTAGATGTTTACCCCCCTTTCTTCACCCTGTACTTGTATATGCCATGTGCTTAGAAAGCTAGGAGACCTCTGGTAGCATTTTTATATTGGTCAGGGGTTTAACCCTCTTGGAAACTAACAAATCAATTTTTGTACCTTCTGCCATATTTGTAGAAGGATTATCAATGAAAGTATAAAAACCATTTGATTTATTTTTTTAAGTTTTCTAGGGAAAACCATTGAATTGAATGATATCTTATGGGTACTTTGTTTGCAATATATTGCTCTGCCAATATTTTCTGTATGTTTCTTTTTTCTTGGAAAATATGGCATGGAGCAGTCAGCAAGACAATGAGTCCATTTTTTTTCTAGGTCTTAGGAGTGCTTTAGTCTTGAAAACAACGGCTTCGCCAGGAGAGCAGCATTTTCTGGTGTCTTTTGCTTAGTTAATTTGGTATTAACAAAAATAAATAAAGAGGTAAACTTAAATAGGCCCATTTTGTTCTAGGTCGTATTCTGAATCGTTTTGCCAAGGACACGGGACAAATGGACGACTTGTTGCCTGTTACTTTCTTTGATTTCACACAGGTTTGTGGTTTCTCGGTTTTTTTTCCTATTCTTAAAAAGTTGATAAGAAATAAATACACAGAATTCTATTTAGACGTTCCATTGCATTAATGGAGTTGATTAGAAAACTTTCAACAAATTTCCTAAAATATTTAGAGCCGAGTGGCAGACATGCATAACAAGTTGGCTGGAAATATTATTCAGGGGTCACCCTTTGTTTTGCATGGGGGGATCATCCAGTAAGGCCATAAGATAGGTTATAGTTGCATAGGGATATGTTATGTTATAATGGGCATATATTTTAGGTAATTGGAATCGCTTTTCGTATGCCATTTTTTAATTAAGTTGCGCGCATCTTTATTAAGTATAATTGTAACCTGTTCTAGTCACCTGTTTGTCTTGTGTGAAGTGAAGCTTATAAGTAGCACCTCATCATTTTTTGTTTGAATGCACTGTATATGAATCAGTCATGTATATTATACTGCAAAAGCCAAGTTGAAGAAAATCATGTGCTGCATGTGATATGACAAAAATGCGTAAAAAATATAGAATTATTTTCAGTTGGCTCCTACAAGAATGATTAAAATATTAGAAATATTTACTTCAATTTTAGTATGAAATTTATATTTAAAAAGTAATACAATAATAATAATAATAATAATAAAACTTACACATAACCCTCTGAGGGGTTTGAATAAAATATTTTGTGAATGAATAGAATTTAATATTGATAAAAAAATTAAAAAGTGAAAATAAATAATGTAGTTACTAATAATAATGAAGAAAAATTGAATTATATTTAAAAATTAGAAAATAAATAAAAACAAAACACAAATCAATTCATGTTGCATCTTATCTTATAATGATTAATTGACATGTGCATAACCTTAGACCTACCCATGTCCTCTGACCTGTACATGACCTCTATTTCAGTGCTTCCTGATGATCCTGGGTATCATAGTGGTAGCGGGCGTGGTCAACCCCTGGGTATTCATCCCTACATTGCCTCTGTGTCTGTTTTTTGTCTACCTCAGAAGATATTACCTGGCCACTTCCAGGGATATTAAAAGACTGGAAGGGACTTGTAAGTTGTCTGATATCATTAAGAAATTATATTCTTACTACTTGTTACATGTTGTTCACTTAATTTTTCATTAAATACATTTTTATTGCCTAGTTAAGCATTAAATAAGCATTTTACTTTAATGTTGAAAACAATGAAAAACTTTTATTTGGTACAGTGACAAATTTACTTTATGTTTGCCGTACCAGGTCACTGGGTGTGCCTGCTTGCAGGTATTGATGGTGAACATGTCTTTGTTTGACAAAACAGTGATACAGCAAATAAACAGTTTGTGTGTATGTATATAACAGATATTAATGATGAATATGTCTCTATTCTAGGTCGTAGTCCCGTCTTCTCACACCTAAGTGCCACACTGAATGGCCTGTCCACCATACGTGCCTACCATGTGGAGGAACTGTTCGGGAAAGAGTTCAACAGCCATCAAGATCTCCACACCGAGGCTTGGTTCCTGTTCCTGGTCACCACCAGATGGTTCGCTATTCGCCTGGATTGGATCTGCGCCTTTTTTGTCACCACGGTCACCATGGTCAGCATATTGGCACGGGACAGTAAGTTTTGGCGGCCATCTTGGATTTGAGAATTTAGTAACATTTTTATCGTAGGTCTTAATGCTGATAGTTACATTCAGAATAATACAGGATTATACCGATGTGGTATGCATTTCACCCCATGATGTACAGTAATAGATTAAGTTTGTTATCAATGCATGATCTAAATATTATAAATTCCATCAAATCAGCTGCAGTGCATTCTGCATAACTTGGGTACTTAGGTACTGGAAAATTTGTTTTAGTCACATGAATATTTAAGTTACACATATTGATTTCACCTAATGCTGAAGAAAGTACTTGTTCCACAAGATTTTTAAAAAATAAAGGATAATTCAAGTTATTGCATGACAAGTAATGTGGATGTAACTGTACATTTTCAGGTTTTGTTCTCTCTTCACAATTGATTTTACTTTGTCCTTTATTCTGTACAGATCTTGGTTTGAATGCTGGACTTGTGGGCCTGGCTGTCACCTACTCCATGGCATTGATGGGAATGTTCCAGTGGGGAGTGAGGCAGAGTGCTGAGGTGGAGAACCAGGTAATGCTCATTGTGTTAGGTGTGCTAAACCTAATTGTTTTGGTTGTGACATTGTGTCCAAGACTGCATTCCCACAGATTTTAGAGCGATCTATCCCAGTGGGGGGTCTTACTAGATTACTGTCAGCTTAACTGGCTTAAATGTCTGCCCCACCAACTAAAAGCTGTAAGGGGGTAATTAACTTCCGTGCATGCTCGGCTTACAGCAATTTAGCTTGAACCCCAGGGAGTTAAGTTGATCTAGATGGATCAATCTAAATCTGTGGGAATGCAGTCCAAGACTCTGGAATGAGGTACCTTTGAATTTCAGAGAGGTTGGTTGTACTTTAAGCAGCATACTTCTGAATAAAAAATATTTCAATGTACGTGGAAAACATTGCTGATGAATCAACCTGCAAATATTTTTTTTTCTCATTCTCAGATGACATCAGTTGAGAGAGTACTCGAGTATTCGAGATTAACCCCAGAGGCCCCCCTGGAGTCAAACAAGAAGCCCCCACCTAACTGGCCGTCACATGGTATCATCACCGGGGAGCAGGCTTCATTTAGATACAGTGTATACACACCAGCAGTGCTAAATAACCTTCACTTCTGCATCAAGTCTAATGAAAAGGTTTGTACCCTAAAAACTAATGTATATCACAAGTCACAACATGTAGCCGTCCATGTTTTACATTTTTTGCACCACCACAGTTCTGCTGGCTTTCTGATATTGCTATCAGAGGCAGACCGAAGACAGTTATAATTTTTTGAGTTTACATTGACAGGCTTCTAATTATTTCTTTTGGAAGATGGTCAAAAATGAAGGATGGTTCAGCAAAGATAATTTGGAAGACTGTCAGAAAATATCTCTGGATCCACCCCTGGCTATTATGACATCCCTTAGGGAATTTTAAGATGCTGAGATCAGGCCAAAACACCCTGAAGCATTATATCTCCCTGATTGTTTATTGCCTGATGAAATAAAGGTGTAGAAATTAATAGCTATTGAAATACGTGCCCCATTGATATATAACATGTTCAGTATAGATACATGTCTGGTTGGCTGGCATAAAATTGGCTTATTCAGCTATTATTATGAACCAATGATTATTGTTTTCTGCAGGTTGGCATAGTCGGTCGCACAGGTGCTGGGAAAAGCTCACTGATCAACATGCTGTTCCGTATGGCGGAGCCCCAGGGTGTCCTGAGGATAGATGGCGTTGACATCGGGGAGATTGGTCTCCATGATCTCAGGGGAAAGATTTCGATCATACCTCAGGTATTTCATCATGCTGCTCTAAACCAAAATCATATCATATTGTTTTGCATAACAGTTCTCTATTATTATAATATTTGGAATATTTAGGTGCAATTGGGCTGATGCAGCCTGTGATGGAAACTTTTCAGACTGCTGGACCCTTTGAGACACCATGGTCTAGGAATCTGACTAGGAATTGACCCAAAAGAAGAAACAGTGGGCAGTAACTGAACACATTTAGAAAATTTTGGTTATGAAAGTGAAATAAGCATTTATAGTAATTATTATTAAAGGTAATATTATAGGTTATATGTAAGCTGTTGTTTTTTAAAATTCTGTCATAGATATTTAGAGTTTTGCCATACTGGTTCTTATATATTTTTAATATTTTTTTAACAGGATCCTGTCCTGTTCACAGGGACAGTGAGAAGTAACCTGGATCCATTCAACGAGCACAGCGATGATCAGCTGTGGATGGCACTAGAGGAGGTACTGGCATGTTTAAGTATAGAAATGTTAGCAATTAACTTGCTTATGCATTATGGCTATTAAATTGAGAGATGGGAGGGGGGGGAAATGAAAGAAAAAGAGAGACTGTGATATCGGATAATTGAATGAAAATATTTTAAGGAGATAACAAGATTTAACAAGATTTATATTTCACAATAAAAACATTGTGAACAACTCGTAAAATTCCATTGTAAACAACTCAGAAATGTAATAAACTCAATAAACAGCAATATACCCGGTACTTCAGATATTTTAGATTTTTTCATTATCATCAAATGATCCAAAACTTCCAGGTTGAAATGAAGATACCAGTGGATGACCTGCCCCGGGGACTGGAATCCGAAGTGACAGAGGGGGGAACAAACTTCAGCGTGGGGCAGAGACAGCTCCTCTGTTTAGCCAGAGCAATATTAAAGAAAGCCAAAATCCTTGTTATAGATGAAGCCACTGCCAATGTTGATATTAGGTGAGTTTTGGGGTTTTTTTTCAAGATCATAATTACGAACAAGTTCAGTCCATGACATTTTTCTTCCATTAGCCCAAGTCCCTTTAATTTTTGATCCAAGAAAATGACAAGGTTTGTTTTCTTTCTCTCTTAATTCCCAAACAAGACAACTTCATTCAGGAGACAAAATTTTAGAAACCTTTTGTTTTGTGAAATGGATAATGTGTCCACTTTATATTTTCATTTCCAGGACAGACAGTTTTATTCAGGAGACAATTAGAGAGAAATTTGACCAATGCACAGTATTAACTATCGCACACAGACTTAACACTGTCATGGACTCCGACAGGATCATGGTACAGTAGACTTAAACCTCTGAAATTTGAATTTTGTATAATTTATTACATAGTAATCCTACCAGATCTTGGTTATGGCTGTGTTAAGAAAAAGAATTGTAACAGATTCTTTAATATGCAGTGCCTGTTGTGATATACATGCTTTGATTCAGGGATTTTTTTTTTATTAGAAAATGTGTCATTTTAAACTTACTGCTTGAGCCATGTTTCATCTATAAGGAATGTATAAAAAATTATGTTACCCATCCTTCAGGTCCTGGATCAGGGCAAAATCAGGGAGTTTGATGAACCATACACACTTTTACAAAATGAGGACAGCTTTTTCTTCAAGATGGTGGAACAGACAGGCAAGCAGGATGCTGCCACGCTCAAGGACATGGCGCGTCAGGCCTTCACCCACCGCCAGCTGTCCAGAATAGATTCTTACGTTGGTGAGGAAAGTAAAGGTGACAATTCAGTGGAGGGGTCTGACGGTCCATCATCACAGCCTGAGATTACCTCTGGTGACAAAATGGCCGAATTGCCTAATGGCAAGATGGATGACCCACCAGGTGGCAGTCAAGTAGATTCCAAAGAGAGGAAAAAAGAGGGTTCTCCAGCCAGTGAAAAAGAGGGTTTGCCTGGTGGTAAAATGGAGGATTTGCCAGCAGACAGTTCTAGCAATTCGGCTGGGGGAAAGATAGAAGAAAAGCCCAGTGGTGAGAGGAAAGGCTCATTAAGCAGTGAAGAGGGAGAGGAGACAAGGTTGATTGTGCCAAACCATACGAATAAGGACACTGTTGACTGTAATGCTCAGTCAGTATAGCAATATTTTTAAATTAGAGGTAACACAATGAAATGATGAATAATATAGTTTGTTAATGAGATACATCAGTGTTGCTCACTGTGTAGTTGAAAAGTTAATGGTTTATAATACATGTATCAGTCAGTAGTGCATTACATGTAGTTTACAATTATTAATATTAGTGTCTACACCACTTTGGTGAACATATAAATGATATGTATGTTCACCCACATGTAGGCAGTGTAAGAACAGTATGATTTATGAACGAATAGCAATAATATTAGTTATACAAAGGGAAATTGATACTTTCAAAGGAAAGTATGATATTTGTGAATGACACTGATATTGAGATACATAATCATCGAGAGTCGTACATAATCAATGATAATTGTTATGAAGTAGACTCGAAGCACATTGCTGATACAGTCATCGAACTATATTGTAGTTCATTTTTGTATATTTGATTTCGGAATCAAAATCTTAAGTATAATAAGATGTGCATAAATGTGCATAATATGTATAAGCGTTATACATATATATATATGTACTGAGTATAGAGCCATTTGTAGTCATATCTGTGACTACATAACATTATCAGAACTTACAGATTCATTTACAGCGACTTACTCCAGAGATTTTATTTTTGGAAAAAAGAGGAATTTTATCTTTTTTAAAACACAAAGATCAGCATTAATTTTAACAAAGAAGTATGTTCCCAAATTGTGACAGAAATTCTGATTTATTCAGCTAATATACAAAAATATGCATTAAAATTGATTAATTAGTTACTAGTGGTTTCTACTGTATGTTTAATATACACTGAGCTAAAATATAAATACCATTTATGAATTATTATGTAACATGCAATGGACTATGGACAATAATCTGTAGCACATTAAACAACAAAATTCACTTTGTATGATTTAATATAAATATAACCTATAATGCTGATTATTATTATTATTATCATTATTATTATTATTATTTGAAGTATTGCACGGGATGTTTATATTTTTGCTCAGTATATAAGCTGAATGAATTAAAATCAGGATGGAATTATTTTTGTCTTACAGGTTTATAGACTTCCTCTCGCCCCTCCTTTACACACACACTCACACTTGTTTGAATGTTATTGTTTGTACATATTTGATATCTAAGTGGCATGTTCATATAACATGTAGATGAAGGCCCTTAGGATGACTATATGCTAACAAACACGAATGTATTATGTATAGGCCATGCTGCACATGAAATGTACAGCAGAAAACAATGTTGTTTTGTTAATGATTTAATTTTTTGTAGGAAAGTGATTGCTCTATGGGAAAATTTGTCACTTTTTGCTCACTCTCAGGAATATGAAGGCTGGAAACTGACTCAAATGCATCATTTCTCACTAAAATCAGATTAGTTAGTGGGTTTGGCATTCAAGGCCCAATTACCGCATGCTTGAATTCCTTTTTAATTCTCTTGTATGGAACAAAAACCCAGTTCAACACATATGCAGTCAAAATGGTGTTGGAAAAGGATTGTAAGATGAAAATTTTTGCAGAGTAGGAAAATGTTCAGCTTTCATGCAAATTTATGCAGTATGGGCACCAGCTTCTTACATATATACCCAGGGGCAGATGGAGGCCGTCTGCTTGGTCTTCAGGAAGACAGTCAGATTTTCAAGTTTGCACTGGCAGGTATATGTCTATATTTTTCTGTCGGAAGACAGTCAAAAATGGAGGATAGATCCGTGTCATAATTTAGAAGACTGTCAGAAAATATCTCTGGATCTGTCCCTGATACCATTTATTCTGCTGAGGTTTTGGTCTGTTTTAATGTGAGCACTCACTAGTATATGTACTAACATTCACATCGCTGCAGTGTATAAATTGATTATGAACATCACCATTGAGGTATTCAAGATGTAGGGGTGCATTTAAGTCACATGTTTAACCTCTGAACAGTTGAAAATATAGCCAATAGATGGTTGATATTGAAAACGAAGGGAATAGGTAATAATCATGGATTCTTTTGTATTTGAGTAATACTAACCAATTGATATTATCTATGAAACGATCAATAGATATATAATGAAATAATTGGACTTATAGTATTCTGTTTTAGAGCTCTTGTGGTATTAATATGATTAGTTATGGATAGTTGAAATATATCTTATCAGAAATGGGAAAAAAAAGAAAATTCTGATCTCATACTTGGTCAATCATATACTCCTTGTTTTCAATGTTACGGAAATTTTAAATCCATGTCAGCCATTTTTGTTTGAAAGATTTTTATGATTTTTTATCAATTTGATTCATTTTTTAACAAATCAGTATGGTCAAATATACGTTAATGAAAAATGTACAATAAAATATCAAATGATATGTATTTGCTGTTTCCCATTCTTTTATATTTGTCTTTTTTCATGGACTAGTCATTTACCTGAAGTAAGGAACGCCATCAATATTTTTTTATTACGCAATTTTCCTAACAGATGAATATACGTCTTTGGCTGTATTAGCATGCAAAAGCGGCCAAGATCACGTGCCCATGCGACTAACAACATTCACCACACTGAGTAAGATAATAAGCCTTCCAGGTTCTTATCCCAACCTAAATATTGACGAATCCTTTCCTCAAACAAACAAACAAACAAACAAACAAACACGGCAATATCTTTTGAGATGGACCATGATCGCGCGCCAACGGCATAGCTCACGCACCTAACGAATGACGAAAAATGTTTTTCGTCGGCACTTTCACACGCCTGTGATATTGACAATTTGCCAGCAAAGCCAAACATGTCGCCAATAAACGATATCCGCGATTATGAGTGTCTTTTATCATATGTTATTCCTCTAGTTGGCATATACTAAGGCCAATGGGATTATTACGCATAGAACGTTAAATAGTATGTATATATGTCAATACTCTGGGCTGCATTACTCACGTTGTCGGAGAAGGAGGGACAGGTGAAAAACAGCATGTATTAAATGAACTTTTACTATGTAAGCCATCTAATCGTATTTCACATAAAGCAAGTTTTAAATGATAATTCCACTCTTCGCCCCAAACTCCTTATTTACTGAATTACATACATTCTTTTGGGTAATAGATAATTTTTTAATGCTCAGTGACTAAATTAATTAATATTAACACATGTCATCTTACGGGTGACGTAATGATTACGTTTTGGGGTAAAAACTGAAAAATCGGTTTCTCAAATTTCTCTTTTACCTGAGCACCCACGATCACCGTTTCAATGACACCATTTAGTACTCCATAATGATAATAATAATAATTCGTAGAGAACAAAACAGAACTTATTCAGACCGCAGGCTATCTACATGTACACCACAAATATCCAGGGCGTAAACGGCTACAAGATACAGTACGTAATTACGTGTACATACAGACACAATGATACAAGCCATGGATCACTCTGAGAGCGGTCAGAATGGATTTATCATACCAGCAGGATCGATCTATCTCTGCAGGGATTCTTGCGCAGTTGTCTGGCACGCCCCCTCGAGGAGCTAGGGGTAATTAACTTTCGTGCATGCTTGGCTAGCTTCTCGAGGGGGCGTGCCAGACAATTAAGCTGATTACACTGACTGCGCTTTAGCAAGAATTCCCAGAGTGAAAGATCGATCCTGGTGGTACGATAATTTCATCTTGAACGCTCTCTTCGAGTCTTTTCACACCACCAGTTGCACCGAAAGACGCACACGGTTCATTAATGATTAATATAGATATCAATGCCAAACAAGTGGGGATTATATAATACGTAATTCCGTGGGAAAACCCTGTCTTAACTATAAGGGATTTTTCCTGTTGGGTATTTCATTGTCCACCTTATAAAAATAGCAGTCCTGTTGATTATCGGGATATTTTCTTGTTTCGTTTCTAAATCGAGCGAATTTGGCCACGAAATTTTGAGTCCGTAATAAATTAAAGAGAAAATGTGATCGTGTCTCTATTATTATTTTATAAGATGAGTCCACTGCTTATATCCGATTATTTCATTTAATGTCACCAAAATATTCATTTCTCGATAGACATTGTTTTTTTCACATTTGAGATTTATTTATGAACGTTTTATTCTCTGCCCCCCCCCCCCTGCATACATAACACCATGCATTTCAAACCAATTTCTGTACCCGTGAGTGTGAATTTGTGAATGCATGTTCAGCAAAATCGCCATCTCTTTCTCTCTCTCTCTCTCTCTCTCTCTCTCTCTCTCTCTCTCTGTGTGTGTGTGTGTGTGTGTTTGTGTGTGTGTGTGTTGAACGCCATGTATTTCCACGTCATTTCCACGTCCGTGACTGTGCATTAAACTGCCTTCATCAACCAGGCCCGTAGCCAGGGGGGGTTCGGGGGGTTCGAAAGAACCACCCTTTTTTGCTGGGAAAAGGTCCACTCTAGGTAAATTTGATCTATGTACTTGAGGATTTTATGGTAAAGGTCCACTTTTTCAGAAAACGAACCCCCCTCTGAAATTGCTGGCTACGGGCCTGTCAACATATCTCTTTAAATACCGACAGCATACACTGTAGATTGTCAGCGGCCGAGTTCGCATATTTTGTTAATTTTGCTATGGAGAGCACCGTGAACTCCTGCCCATCCTACTATATTTACCCATTACACAGAGCGCCTATGTTTACAGGCAGTAAACCGCGCTTACGCACCCACTATCAGCGTTATGAGTTATGGAGTATTTACGCTTTCCTTCAGCGTTGATAACCCCGGTGAGTTTCTCCTGCGTGTGAAAACTACATGTATCTTGGAAGAGCTATTCTAAAGCTAAGTGCAAAATTCCCTATATCTCGTTTCACATTGTGTTGCGAAACCGAAAGAAGTGAACACTTAAAATCGTTTTATTTCTAATTCAGCTGTGCTGTAACATTGCACAGTATCACTTTACAGATATGCGGCACTGTCTTCTATAAACTTACAATTTTATTATGTGCAAGGGGGCGCTTTTGATTCTAAATATTTGGGATCACTTGACTGTAGGCTAGCAAGAAAAATCTCCAATCTCATCAAAACCAAGGTTATGTTTATGACACAGATAAAACTTGGAGCTTACAATGTATTGAGTTGTTCTGTATCTCGAAAGTAAACGACCAATATCACTCACCCACGGAACGGTTGTCGATATTTTGCACACGTTACTAATTCGATCAATTGAACAACAACTCCTTATTTGGCTTTCTGTTTCAGTTGAATATTAGACCCGTGTGCAAAGACGACCGACATCATGTGCCCATGCGACATATAGCATGCACCCGATACCACCATCCGTTTGTTTTGAGTGGCGTGTGCAAAACCGCCGTAAATCACTATATAACCCACCAGCGGCCAAAATCGCGCACTTTCTTCCCAGCGATCGAGAAAGAAGTGCAATTCACAGTTTCTCTAAATTATCAAGAAAATTTCAAGAAAATTTTACAAGGTGAGCGAAAGAGACCATACTCAAACAGCAGTCGTTTGCCATGCACTGTGTCATATGGTACCTTATTTTTATTCAGTGCAGTTGTAAAGGCAACAGTCATTTAAAGCCCAGTAGATATAATAACTGTTTGTGTTAAAAAGCACAATTTATGAAATTGATTTTTACATAGCTTACAAGAGCTACTGGGTTTGTTATTATCTCAAATTTTGCCGCCGTCCTTAGACATTTTTACATGAAGGGTACGAAAATATATAACAAATAGAGTGGGCTGCATAGAAAAGATATCTAAATAAGACTTATCTAAATGAGAAAATAAAAAATAAAACCAATTCTTAAATCAAGAGTTCACGTTTGTTTTTTTTTTGTTTTTTGTTTTTTTTTTTTTTTTTTGGGGGGGGGGTAATTGCTCGGTTACTCGGAAACAAAGTTAGTATTATTTTAAAAAAAGCAGGAGACGTCTTGGGTGAATTTTCCATTGTCTATTCAACGATATCTCCAAATAATTCCTTTTAATCTGATGTTTTTGTATACACACAGGTCCTCGAACAATGACGACCAACTGACAATTCTCGAACAAAATTTGGATTTAATTTTTTTTTTTTTCATCGTGTGTTTGAATGCTAGAATGCGCAAAGGCAAATCCTCGGTTCTTGAAACCGCAGTGATTTGGAATTGATGTCAAAATGTTAAGAAGTGTCGTGCTTGTTGAAATCATAACCGAAATGAGATCATTCAACTTCATGGACCTTGTGAAAGTGTGTTTAATTTTATCCTTAATATTTGTTGAACGTCAGTTATCTAGACACTTTATTTATAGAGTAAAAAGCGACATGTATATCCGGGCCGACCGGTATCTTTTAAGTCTTAAAAGAGTCAACGTTGCTTACAGATAAAAAGGTGAAGGTCTCTCGAGGATTATTCTTCATTTTCATTCAAAATCCTGACCTCCAGTTGTAACTCTGCTTTGTTCATTTTTCAGAATAGACATGGCTGACGTTGAGTGTTGCGGAAAGTGCAGTGGCAGGTAGGTTGCATTGTGTGAAAGCATTCGGTCATTTCAATGCCTAATAACTAAATATTGATTGGCCGCGTAATTGACTGAGGTTGGCCGAATAATCGTAAGAATGTATGTGTTTGCGCGCTCTCGCGCGCGTCTCTCTCTCTCTCTCTCTCTGTGCATGAGTGTGTGTGTGTGTGTGTGTGTGTGTGTGTGTGTGAGCGCGCGCCGTATAAAACATGTTAACAAATTCGTTTGGGGAAATGAACATGGAGAAAAAAAACATGTTTGTGCAGGTGCTGCCTCATGAAATAGAAAAAAGTAGAAGCCGTCTCTAGTAGGTGTGCTACCAAAAATGCGTTTGGTCTTCTGCGGTTGAGACCAACTAATGTTCCAAGTCTCACCTAACGCATTTATACTTTTCATCAATTTCAGCCGTGCCACTTGTAAAATGGACTGTGAGTGTCCACAGTGCAAATGTTGTGACTGCTCCGGTAAATCCTGCTGCGCCGTAGCAGGCAAGGTGAGCGCTTCATCTTTACTTTTATAAATCAATCACTTGTAGAATTTTCTTTTTCAGGATAGCTTATTCAGATTATTTTGAAAATGGCTCTTTAGTATTTTAACACCTTTAAGGTCTGAATTGGAAAAGATTGGTAGCTTCACAGGAAATAAGACATTAAAACATAAACAATGTCTAATGCGTCTTGGTACACTAGTCTTCTAAAAACCGCTGTAATTATTGTCAACTTTCCTTTTCAAGCTATGAATGTTATTTCTAAATTGATGTAATGAAATCTTATGTCATAGGTGTGCAAAACTGGCTGTCCCGATTGCCCCACTGCCGCGTGCTGCTGTAAGCGCTTGTGTGAATGCACGGGCAAAGGCTGTTGCACTGAGTCGGTGAGTGATGCCAAGCGTTGCGTGAATGAAGAAATACATACAAAAATTATGATAATTTTGTAAAACAATGATTGATTAAAATGAAATGATCGAAATAGGATGATGAAAATGAAGTTTCTTCAAATCGTTTGCAAATTTTAACCGTTGCTTTAATTATTCTGGTTAAGTGCGATTGAGAAGATCACAGGGTTTTCTTTTCGGCTTTTCCATTTATTTATAATATACCATCATTATACCATCATATCTTACCAGTATCAGCAAGAAGAGTGATACCGTCGTCATGTGCACATGCTCAGAGCATAGTGCGGTATTTCAATGTACGATCTTGTAAAGTAAACCGAACAACGTACCTCAATTTAGAAATTAAAATTCCTTCTCTATACCCTACAGATTTTTAACAAGACGAAGGAGAACAATTTGAGTATGGTCATCTGAACACAGGGCTATCTCGCCACCCACACTGAGTTCTTAGTATTGAATAACACCAAAAATGTAATCTATTTCTGCATTTTATTTTCATTTCTGTTTTGATGTCATGTATGAATTGTACGGCACAATGTTTTAAACTGAAGACCAATTTTTCCAGGGTTGTACGGTAGGCTGCAAGCTTTGCTCTGGACCCAAGGGTTGTTTGTGTTGTAAATGCACTGGAAAAGAATGCTGCACGGCCGAGGTGGGTGAATTCATACACCTAAATGTTTATTAAAGGGATAATAACTCTTCGTATGAGATGTACATTTCACGATAAAAACATTGTGAACAACTCATAGAAATATAATATATTCTGTTGTACCAAAAAAAACGGCATTAATAGCTATTATTCTGATATTTGAGCTTGTATTAAGACCATGTGACCTACATTGATGGCTATACTCTGTTATAATCTCTTTTAAGAGAGATTATAACAAAAAAAAACTTTTTAGAAAAAAAACAGGGACTAACTTTGAATGTAAAAATGGATTCATTAACCATTGGTAAGTATGGGAAAAATGTTGTTTACTCCAGGAAAATTCATTTTTTGGCCAAAACGAAGAGTTATTATCCCTTTAAAGATAGAAGCAGACGTTGTTGACATTGCCCACAGTTTTTAAAATTCAGGTTCTGTCATTACCCGGTATGTGTATAATTGTCAAAGAAATCTTTGGTGTTTTTTATCTATCCGATATTATTATCATTCTTAAGTGATATTTTAATTTTTCATTTACAGGGCTGCTCGGTTGGCTGCAAGTTGTGCTCTGGACCCAAGGGTTGTATGTGCTGTACTTGCACTGGCAAAGGATGCTGCACCGATGAGGTGAGGAATAAATAAGTAAAAAAAAAATAATAATAATAATTTATAAATAATAATAAACAGAAAGAAATAACCATTGATAATTTTATGTAATTTTTTTATATTTTTATTCTTATCAAAAGAATTAAAGGTTGTCATCATTCTTTCTTTGGTGTTATATTTCTTGAAGTATAATTAATTCTTCAGTTTTAATACACATTTCGACGAAATACGTTCCAGGGTTGTTCAGTGGGCTGTAAGCTGTGTTGTGGACCTGGAGGATGCTGCTGCTGCAAGTGCACTGGCAAAGGTTGCTGCACCCCCGAGGTGGGTGAATCCATACGTTTATAAAAAGTAACAAAAATATCTTGGGATTTATTGTAGTCTTTGTTTCTACTGCAAGCCTCATTTTTTATCACTGTCAAATAATTGTTCAAAATAATCTTTCTTGTTTCTTTTTCTTTTATTTTCTTCTTTTTCTTTATTTCTTTCTTTATGTAGTCCATTTATTACGTTCATTTAGATAGGCCTAAGTATAGTAATGTCACTTCTGTATATATAGCGTTTTGACCAATCTTTATTTCCAGGGTTGCTCAGTTGGCTGCAAGCTGTGTTGTGGACCCAAGGGTTGTATGTGCTGCAAGTGCACTGGCAAGGGATGCTGCACCCCTGAGGTTAATTATTTCAGCCGTCTTTGTTATCAGAAATTACGATAATCGATGCTCGTTGAATTAGACAGTACTGATATTTTTACCAAAGAGAAGTTTTTTCTTTTTGCATTAGATAGTTCAGGGATAGTGGCAATGTTTCACTGCACACCTTATTTGAAAAATAAACGTTTAATTTGGGTCATTTTGTATTCAGGGTTGCTCAGTTGGCTGCAAGCTTTGCTCTGGATCCAAGGGTTGTATGTGCTGCAAGTGCACCGGCAAAGGATGCTGCACCTCTGAGGTGAGTGCCCCTTGTAATCAAATTATTCCGACTATCAGTGATTTGAATTCATTTCGTAAATACACTGGGAAAGACTGCTGCACCTATAAGGTAATTGAAAAATTAAAAGATCGAATCAACTGATTGCAAAAGCGATGATTTTGTAAATTTCCGTAATATTGCGCAAAAATACTAGTACTTCAACAGTTCAAGATATTTCATGTCTTATTTCATACCACGGTCGTAGAATTTACACAATCAAATATTTAATTCAATTCTTATTTCATATGTAGGGATGTTCAGTTGGATGCAGGCTGTGCTCGGGACCCAAGGGTTGCATGTGCTGCAAGTGTACGTCTAAGGGATGCTGCACCGCTGAGGTGAGTGGTATTGGGTGTCTCATTACAATGATAAAAGTTCTCATTAATTAAACGTGCTTTAAATCTTGTTCTGTTATTATTTACTTTGACAGACTGGATTTTAAATTCGGTAAATTCCATCTCACAGGGTTGTTCCGTGGGCTGTAAGTTGTGCTGTGGACCAAAAGGGTGCATGTGTTGCAAGTGCACTGGCAAGGGATGCTGCACCCCCGAGGTGAGTGATTTCACGAGACTGACTAAAATTTCATATCAGCCATAGCTTGGATCGCTTGTCTCAGACATTTTAATGCTTGTAGTTGTCAAGATTTTGCTTCATTTTTTAGACTCAATTTTCAGATTACCGCTGTTCAATCTTCATAGACAATGTATAGATTTAGATTTTGTTATCCAGGGTTGCTCGGTAGGCTGCAAATTATGCTCTGGACCCAAGGGTTGTATGTGCTGTAAGTGTACCGGCAAGGGATGCTGTACCGCCGAGGTGAGTGCCTTTTGGAATCAAATTATACCGACAATAAGTGATTTGAATTCATTTTTGGATTTTTTTTTCAATTTTACCGAATTCAAATGAAAGATTGCTTACGTTTTATTTTCAAACAAAAACACCATTTTCCTAACGCTCATGTTTTAACAAGAAAAATAGTGAAATAATATTAACTTTTTCCAGGGATGTTCCGTTGGCTGCAAGTTGTGCTGTGGACCCAAAGGTTGTGTGTGCTGCAAGTGCACTGGCAAGGGATGCTGCACCCCCGAGGTGAGCGATTTAAGCTGTTTCGACTTTAAAAAGTGTCAATGAAAAGATTAAAATGGAACTTAGACTTTGATTATAGCTTCAAATTTGTTTGCTTTTTCCATTTTATATATATGGCGTGCAAGATCAGGAGAAGCTATTACCGTTGAACAGTTAAAAATCATTATTCAGCACCCTCATTTTGATAAACCAAAGCTTTTATTTTTGCCGAATCTTATCACCAGGGTTGCTCGGTAGGCTGCAAGTTGTGCTCTGGACCCAAGGGTTGCATGTGTTGTAAGTGCACCGGCAAGGGATGCTGCACCCCCGAGGTGAGTGATTTTATAGATACGATTGCTATAATTGACTTAATTTTCGAAAAAAAATGCTAAAGTTAATCTCCCCTGGCATTATCAAAAACTTAGTACGTATTCAGTTATCAACTGTTTTGACAGACTGGATCTTAAAATCAATAAATATTATTTTTAGGGTTGTTCTGTGGGCTGCAAATTGTGTTGTGGACCAAAGGGTTGCATGTGCTGCAAATGCACTGGCAAGGGATGCTGCACCCCCGAGGTGAGTGTTTTTAGAAATCTGAGTGATAAATGGCATTGGAAACATCATTTATTGAAATATACTGTAGATTTGACCCCAGATTATATTTTTTTCATTGCCAGATATATGTTATTTGATAGGTTTCTGACATGTTAATGATAATCTGTTTTGAGTTGTCACGTTCTTCGACAGAAAAAAACTGACATTTTTTAATATATTTTAATTATATTTTAAGGGTTGTTCAGTTGGCTGTAAGCTGTGTTCCGGATCCAAAGGTTGCATGTGCTGCAAGTGTACTGGCAAAGGATGTTGCACAGCCGAGGTAAGTGAATTTAGGCACCTTTTCATACATAATCTTACCCATCAGGTAGATTTTTCTCCCGGATTAAAAAACTTCAAAAAAACATTAATGTGTCGGTTACTCATTGCTTTTTCGTGGTTTTAAGCAGAATTGAAATTTGATTCTAATTCCATCATCCAGGGTTGTTCAGTGGGCTGCAAGTTGTGTTGTGGACCAAAAGGTTGCTTGTGTTGCAAGTGCACCGGCAAGGGATGCTGCACCCCCGAGGTGAGTGATTTCAGGCGAAAAAATTGACATGAGCAAAATACGGTCAATTGTGATCATAAAATAACTTGTACCGTAGGACAGATTTACTTCATTAAGAAACATGTTCATTCGTTTATTTTTAAGGCTAGATTTTTATCTTGAAATTTAGAAAAAAACATCATTTTGAATACTGATTAACCTGCATTATTTTGCAGGGTTGTTCCGTAGGCTGCAAGTTGTGCTCTGGACCCAAGGTTGCATGTGCTGCAAGTGCACCGGCGACGGATGTTGCACCGCCGAAGTGAGTGACTTTAGTCATCTAAATGAAAACGGCCAAGACCTTTCTCATAGTAATATATATCGTCAATGACATGTCGAGATTGTACTACATTATTCGTACTTCACATTAGTGAAAAATTCTACCAAAATGGAGCTTTAATTTACAGTTCATTTCTAGGGTTGCTCAGCGGGCTGCAAGTTGTGCTCTGGACCCAAAGGGTGCATGTGTTGTAAGTGCACCGACAAGGACTGCTGTACCGCCGAGGTAAAGTGGTTTTAGGCGTCTAAATTTGAATTTATTGAGAACTTAAACTGTCTTTCGTGAAATAAGTACTGAGTAGTTAGTTGTGAATTTAGCTTTACAGCTTATATAATGACATACATACTCGATATGTTACATTTTATATAATGTCGTATGTTACATTTTCACGATTTTTATCTCTGGCCTCAGAATTCGAAGACATGGATTTAGATGAATTAACCGCCATTACGCCAGTACAAACATATATGATATCATTTTGTTTTCAGGGATGTTCAGTAGGCTGCAAGTTGTGCTCTGGCCACAAGGGTTGCGTGTGCTGTAAGTGCACCGGGAAGGAATGCTGCACCGCCGAGGTGAGTGAATTCAGGCACCTTCGGGCTTACTAAATACTATGACAGTGGTTCTTAACAGCACATCAGCCTTTTACCCAGGTTTTAATTTATATATCCAAGATATTACAATATATGCTTATAAGCTTTATTTCATACTTAGGCATCAGGTAGTACTGATGAAAATGTACATGATGTGAACATATAAATGAACTCCATAATTACATAAATAGTTACATGTGGATTAACAAGACTACGTATTTTAAGATCAATTGGCAGGATTGATATACACGCTTTGTTTCTTCTCACAACGCATGGGGATCGCACACTGACATTAATATATATATATGGACAAGATAGCACTGTGGCAGCATTACAGCAGTACATATGTTTACGATTTTCATTTCTGATACGATTCTCGAATCAAAATAGTATAGTAGCGATGATGATGGCCTTTCGCAGCTTGCATATCAGAGACAATACTTCAATTAAAATTTAAAACAAAATTTATTTTTCCAGGGGTGTCCAGTTGGCTGCAAGAAGTGCTCTGGACCCAAGGGCTGTGTTTGCAAGTAAGATCATGTGCTGCCCTGCTTGCTTTTTATCTGTCCTCAAAGGTATTATTATAATTTACAATAACGGTGCCACTTATGTGACTTGCACACGTATCTTTCATGTGCATGTACTACACCCCTTTGATTATAATAATAATAATAATAATAATAATAATAAAGGTTTATTGTGGTAAGGTTTATTGTATAGGTAATTCAGTGCCTACCTTGAAATCTCGGCGTACTGACTTATGCAAAAAATTATTTAATGAGATAAAACTGTGTACACATAGATTGAACCATCTTTTACCTAACACTCGTGTCATAGAAAAGGACCTAAGGAATGTTTATAGATATGTTTTACCAAAATGTCGGACAAAAAGATATAGAATATAGATTATATAGCATATCGAAGGCTTACTTGGATTTAATCTCCGTGTGCGGCACGCACTACGTAAATAATACACCCTTTGTACCAGGTTACCGTTCAGCTCAGAGAACAGGGTATCAGACGATCACATTAAAGCAGAAATATCTTATTCTGTATCTTTGACAAAGGCATTGTGAATCTCTAAGTGCAATTTGCTTTTCTGCTGTATTTGATACTGTATCGTGTGTGTCTGTGTGTGTGTGAGTGTGTGTGTGTGTTTGTGTGTGAGAGAGAGAGAGAGAGAGAGAGAGAGAGAGAGAAAGAAACAGAGATAATCCAAACTGATCATGATACACAAAATTTGATATATATTTCGGTCCTATTTCAGGCTGTGAAGAGAGAGAATAGTTACGTCTTTACTCCGTTACTCTGAAGATGATCAAGACGGACACGCACGCTTTATTCAACTTATAAACTATGAGTTCTTCATGCAACTGTTTGATAAAAAAGAATGTTTGAATATTTGGAGATCAATGTTTGAAAATCAATGGATATACAATGTACAGGGGTGTTTGGCAATTTAGGGCATTGATTGCGGCTATTACTAGACGCATAAAGCAACACTAATTAAGTCAATGCATTTTATTTCTGGTTAAGGATTTGATATTTGTATGGTTTAATATTGAGAAGCAAAACCCATAATTATTTCATGGAGAGGAGGACTTGAAATTAATCCAGATATTACTTAAATTGATCGCGTCCGACTTTGTGGAACAAATATTTGCCAAAATAAAATTTAATTCAGAACATAATGCACTGATTCATTTCATTCAATACTATTTTGCTTTCTCCTCTCAATATCCTGGTAATTGAGTTTTATTTTCGCCTGGACGATTGCAAATCTTAACGGTAAAAAAGTCTTGCTCCTTTCCCTATTTTCATAAATTCAAAGAAAGGGGTTATGTCTCCTACGTGGGATTCCTTTTGAGTCTTATTACTTTAATCATAACGAGAAATAAGTTTCAATCTTATCAAGATCTGCAGTCGACTATAATAAAAGAATTCAAATGACACGGACTGGGGGGTTAAAGAGATAACCATATGTAAACGACCCGTATCGCTTACCCAAGTACGTGCTATGCCACCAATATCAATTTCAAGTCTTTTGACATGGCACAGGCAATTGCCATGCACTGTAAAGGGTATTGCGTTAAACTTAATGAACGAACCGTATCACTTACCCAAGTATATGCGATCATATGCTATGTGATCAATATAAAATATACTTAAATGACACAGAGTAGCTCCTTGAATTAATGCTATATGTTTAAACGACCCGCATCACTTACCCAAGCATTTGCTATGCGATCGATATTGTGCACCCGTTACTAGCTGAAGTAAGCGAAAAACGTTTCCTTATTTGGTCATCTCCTTGCGCCTGAGCTGGTGCTGTGTGCAAAAGCAACCAACATCATGTGCCCATACGACCTACAGCATTCACCCGACACTGAACACGCACCCATGGTTAAGCGACGTGTGCAAAATCACCGTGATTACTATATATAACCTACGATTTCTTTACTCGTACCGGTCGATATAGAAGTGCAGCACGCCGTACAAAGTTCTCAATCAAAAGAAATTTATAAGGTAAGTGAAAACATGAGGAGAAGCCAGAAGGCCTAGCTATCCGATAAATTGTCACCGTACTGAGTACATAGCAGAACACGTGCCTGTTGTCACGTTGTCAAACCGACCCGTGAAATCTCTTTCGAACCTTATCTGTTAAATTTGGATTCTCGGAATGAAAAATGCCACAACGAACCGACCAGTGACAGACGTGGGAATTTGGGAATTTTCCCCTAAATACAATAAATTGTAAACGAAAAACGTGCCACGTTCTGCACAGCCGGTGCATATTACCTCCTTGGCTCCATGAACTAATCGGGTCACGGTGCTGTGCTGCATAATGCAACAACCCGTGTAATATGCACATCTGGGTCATGCGATATACGCTTCTAAAGATGGAATGTGCTCGTATCAAGATTGTAATTATTGCCAGTATTTCCTTCTTATAAATACGGTGGAACTTTAAATGTGAAGTGGATTTATCCATGCAGTGTTGTACGATGTACGTGTCGATGTATAATCTTATAGGTTGACAAACCACTTGTTGCTCGGTATTTTTGTAAATTGAGCTGAGAAGTGATAGACTGTATACTTTTTGTTTTAAAAATGTCATAATTCGGCAATATATGGTATCAGCAAATTACGTTCTTGATACCAAGGCATGTATGCATGTGAGGCAATACGAAAAAAAAAATTGTGAATATAAAATTAAACGTTCAACATTCTGTTGTGAATATAAAATTAACCAGTAAACGTTCTACATTCTGTTGCTATGGCAACATATTAATTTAATGAGCACTTTGTTGAAGCCAGAAAAAAGCCAAGTACTTAAAGCTATTTGACCAAACAAGAATATGGAAGGATCATTTAAGACCCCATTCCTATAGATTTTAGATCGATCTATCCCTGTGGGGAGTCTCACTAGATTACTGTCAGCTTAGCCTGCTTAAGCGTCTGTCCCGCCTACTAAAAGCTGTAAGGGAGTAATTAACTATGGTGCGCGCTCGGCTGACTGCAATTTAGCATGAACCCCCAGGGAGTTAGGTTGATCTAAATCTCAGGATCGATCTAAATCTCTGGGAATGCACCCTAATTCATTGCATGCGGGTTTCTATCTTATACAATCAATTGGTCAATTTGGCCAGTTTTGGAATTTACCTGGGATGCAATAATTACTCATAGGATATTCTGTCCTTTAAAGCATAGTGTGCGAAAGCAATAAAAATTAATTATTTGAAGTTTTGTCTTAGTAAGATAAGAATTAGTGAAATTTCTCACTTAATTACCTTTTATTTCTTATTTTTGACCACCATTGTGACCTCCTGTTTGTTACTTTTCTCTGTTTCAGTAGGAGTAAAAAAAAGNGGCAAGGACTGCTGTACCGCCGAGGTAAAGTGGTTTTAAGCGTCTAAATTTGAATTTATTAAGAACTTAACTGTCTTTCGTGAAATAAGTACTGAGTAGTTAGTTGTGAATTTAGCTTTACAGCTTATATAATGACATACATACACGATAAGTTACATTTTATATAATGTCATATGTTACATTTTCACGATTTTTATCTCTGGCCTCAGAATTCGAAGACATGGATTTAGATGAATTAACCGCCATTACGCCAGTACAAACATATATGATATCATTTTGTTTTCAGGGATGTTCAGTAGGCTGCAAGTTGTGCTCTGGCCACAAGGGTTGCGTATGCTGTAAGTGCACCGGGAAGGAATGCTGCACCGCCGAGGTGAGTGAATTCAGGCACCTTCGGGCTTATTTAAAAATACTATGACAGTCGTTCTCAACAGCACGTCAGCCTTTTACCCAGGTTTTAATTTATATATCCAAGATATTACAATATATGCTTATAAGCTTTGTTTCATACTTAGGCATCAGGTAGTGCTGATGAAAATGTACATGATGTGAACATATAAATGAACTCCATAATTACATAAATAGTTACATGTGGATTAACAAGACTACATATTTTAAGATCAATTGGCAGGATTGATATACACGCTTTGTTTCTTCTCACAACGCATGGGGATCGCACACTGACATTAATATATATATATATATATATATATATATATATATATATATATGGACAAGATAGCACTGTGGCAGCATTACAGATATGTTTACGATTTTCATTTCTGATACGATTCTCGAATCAAAATAGTATAGTAGCGATGATGATGGCCTTTCGCAGCTTGCATATCAAAGACAATACTTCAATTAAAATTTAAAACAAAAATTATTTTTCCAGGGGTGCCCAGTTGGCTGCAAGAAGTGCTCTGGACCCAAGGGCTGTGTTTGCAAGTAAGATGTGCTGTCCTGCTTGCTTTTTATCTGTCCTCAAAGGTATTATTATAATTTATAATAACGGTGCCACTTATGTGACTTGCACACGTATCTTTCATGTGCATATACTACACCCCTTTGATTATATAGCATATCGAAGGCTTACTTGGTTTTAATCTCCGTGTGCGGCACGCACTACGTAAATAATACACCCTTTGTACCAGGTTACCGTTCAGCTCAGAGAACAGGGTATCAGATGATCACATTAAAGCAGAAATATCTTATTCTGTATCTTTGACAAAGGCATTGTGAATCTCTAAGTGCAATTTGCTTTTCTGCTGTATTTGATCCTGTATCTTGTGTGTGTGTGTGTGTGTGTGTGTGTGTGTGTGTGTGTGTGTGAGAGAGAGAGAGAGAGAGAGAGAGAGAGAGAGAAAGAAAGAAACAGAGAGATAATCCAAACTGATCGTGATACACAAAATTTGATATATATTTCGGTCCTTTTTCAGGCTGTGAAGAGAGAGAAGAGTTACGTCTTTACTCCGTTACTCTGAAGATGATCAAGACGGACACGCACGCTTTATTCAACTTATAAACTATGAGTTCTTCATGCAACTGTTTGATAAAAAAGAATGTTTGAATATTTGGAGATCAATGTTTGAAAATCAATGGATATACAATGTACAGGGGTGTTTGGCAATTTAGGGCATTGATTGCGGCTATTACTAGACGCATAAAGCAACACTAATTAAGTCAATGCATTTTATTTCTGGTTAAGGATTTGATATTTGTATGGTTTAATATTGAGAAGCAAAACCCATAATTATTTCATGGAGAGGAGGACTTGAAATTAATCCAGATATTATTTAAATTGATCGCGTCCGACTTTGTGGAACAAATATTTGCCAAAATAAAATTTAATTCAGAACATAATGCACTGATTCATTTCATTCAATACTATTTTGCTTTCTCCTCTCAATATCCTGGTAATTGAGTTTTATTTTCGCCTGGACGATTGCAAATCTTAACGGTAAAAAAGTCTTGCTCCTTTCCCTATTTTCATAAATTCAAAGAAAGGGGTTATGTCTCCTTCGTGGGATTCCTTTTGAGTCTTATTACTTTAATCATAACGAGAAATAAGTCTCAATCTTATCAAGATCTGCAGTCGACTATAATAAAAGAATTCAAATGACACGGACTGGGGGGTTAAAGAGATAACCATATGTAAACGACCCGTATCGCTTACCCAAGTACGTGCTATGCCACCAATATCAATTTCAAGTCTTTTGACATGGCACAGGCAATTGCCATGCACTGTAAAGGGTATTGCGTTAAACTTAATGAACGAACCGTATCACTTACCCAAGTATATGCGATCATATGCTATGTGATCAATATAAAATATACTGAAATGACACAGAGTAGCTCCTTGAATTAATGCTATATGTTTAAACGACCCGCATCACTTACCCAAGCATTTGCTATGCGATCGATATTGTGCACCCGTTACTAGCTGAAGTAAGCGAAAAACGTTTCCTTATTTGGTCATCTCCTTGCGCCTGAGCTGGTGCTGTGTGCAAAAGCAACCAACATCATGTGCCCATACGACCTACAGCATTCACCCGACACTGAACACGCACCCATGGTTAAGCGACGTGTGCAAAATCACCGTGATTACTATATATATCCCACGATTTCTTTACTCGTACCGGTCGATAAAGTAGTGCAGCACGCAGCGCAAAGTTTTCAATCAAGAGAAATTTATAAGGTAAGTGAAAACGTGAGGAGAAGCCAGAAGGCCTAGCTATCCGATAAATTGTCACCGTACTGAGTACATAGCAGAACACGTGCCTGTTGTCACGTTGTCAAACCGACCCGTGGAATCTCTTTCGAACCTTATCTGTTAAATTTGGATTCTCGGAATGAAAAATGCCACAACGAACCGACCAGTGACCGACGTGGAAATGTGGGAATTTTCCCCTGAATACAATAAATTGTAAACGAAAAACGTGCCGCGTTCTGCACAGCCGGTGCATATTACCTCCTTGGCTCCATGAACTAATCGGGTCACGGTGCTGTGCTGCATAATGCAACAACCCGTGTAATGCACATCTGGGTCATGCGATATACGCTTCTAAAGATGGAATTTGCTCGTATCAAGATTGTAATTATTGCCAGTATTTCCTTCTTATAAATACGGTGGAACTTTAAATGTGAAGTGGATTTATCCATGTAGTGTTGTACGATGTACGTGTCGATATATAATCTTATAGGTTGGCAAACCACTTGTTGCTCGGTATTTTTGTAAATTGAGCTGAGAAGTGATAGACTGTATACTTTTTGTTTAAAAAATGTCATAATTCGGCAATATATGATATCACCAAATACGTTCTTGATACCATGTATGTATGTGCGGTAATACAAAAAAAATTATTTGTGAATAATTAAACGTTCTACATTCTGTTGCTATGGCAACATATTAATTTAATGAGCACTTTGTTGAAGCCAGAAAAAAGCCAAGTACTTAAAGCTATTTTGACCAAACAAAAATATGGAAGGATCATTTAGGTCATTGCATGCGGGTTTCTATCTTATAGAATCAATTGGTCAATTTGGCCAGTTTTGGAATTTACCTGGGATGCAATAATTACACATATGATATTCTGTCCTTTAAAGCATAGTGTGCGAAAGCAATAAAAATTAATTATTTGAAGTTTTGTCTTAGTAAGATAAGAATTAGTGAAATTTCTCACTTAATTACCTTTTATTTCTTATTTTTGACCACCATTGTGACCTCCTGTTTGTTATTTTTCTCTGTTTCAGTAGGAGTAAAAAAATGGCCGAAGCCAATCCTGGTTGTAAAGCATGCTCTGGACCCAAGGGTTGTATGTGCTGTAAGTGTACTAGCGATGACTGCTGTACTGATGAGGTGAGTAACAATGATGATAATCAAAGTACCTAATTAACGTATATAACAAGCACCCATGACATTATTAGTTCATGTAAAACCAATCTGATTATATAACATGATATTTTCACAAATTAGCCACTTACTCTTTACTCCTGATATGATTTTAATGAATTTTTATTGATTTTGCTCATTATCTTGGATAAAATCTTGCTTAATTGTGAAAAAAAATATTTCCAGGGATGTTCAGCAGGTTGTAAAGCATGCTCTGGACCCAAGGGTTGTATGTGCTGTAAATGTACTAGTGATGACTGCTGCACTGACAAGGTGAGTGATTATAGAATTTTGTTGGTGTTTATAAATGAATGTAGGATTCTTGAGTAAAAAAAAAAAAAAAAAAAAAAATAAGAAAAAGGGTCTTTCAAGTTTTTTTTTTAGTTTTTAGTCATTTTTTCATTTTTAAAAGAAATGTTCAGAATGATAATTTTTGACAGAAAAATTTTTTTTAGATTATTTAGTAGCTAAGAATTTTCAGAAAAAAAAAAGAAAAGAAAGATATTTTTCCATTTTTCCAGGGATGTTCAGCAGGTTGTAAAGCATGCTCTGGACCCAAGGGTTGTATGTGCTGTAAGTGTACTAGCGACAACTGCTGCACTGATAAGGTGAGTGACTTTAGTAATTGTTGATATTTATGGGTGATGAGAAAAGCTTCTTTAGTGAAAATAATAAGAAAAAGAAAAAGCATTTTTTAAGATTTTGAAATGTTAAGTCTCTGTCTTCTGCCATATTTTTATTTTCAAAAGAAATGTTCAAAAATGATAACTTTTGACAAATATACATTTTGTGGGATTTCTTAATGACTACTTTTTTATAATAATTTTATTTTCTTCCATTTTTGCAGGGATGTTCAGCAGGTTGTAAAGCATGCTCTGGACCCAAGGGTTGTATGTGCTGTAAGTGTACTAGCGATGACTGCTGCACTGATGAGGTGAGTGATTTTATTTATTAATGTTGTTTATGAATGATGCCAAATTTCTTGAGTGCAAAGAAAAAGACAAAGAAAAGTGACCTTCAAGTTTTTGAAAGATTTGAACTCTCTCATCAGTTTTATACTCATTTTCTAAAGATAGGTTCAAGGGCAATTATTTGGACTGATATACTTTATGTTAGACTATCTAATGACCACCCATTATTCAAAATAAAGATTTTTGCCATTCTTTCCAGGGATGTTCAGCAGGTTGTAAAGCATGCTCTGGACCCAAGGGTTGTATGTGCTGTAAGTGTACCAATGATGACTGTTGCACTGACAAAGTAAGTTTTTGTAGAAGTTGTCATTTATAAATGATGGTAGGATTCTTGAGTGAAAATAACAAGAAAAAGTGTCTTTCAAGTATTGAAGGAGTTTTTAGTTGTCTTCAGTTTATATTTTCATTTTCAAAAGAAATGTTCAGAATGATCACTTTTGACAGAGACACTTTTGTTGGATTATTTAGTGCCTATACACATTTTCTAAAACAAAAAACAAAAACAAAAAACAAACAAAAAAAAAAGATATTTTGCCATTTTCCAGGGATGCTCAGCAGGTTGTAAAGCATGCTCTGGACCCAAGGGTTGTATGTGCTGTAAGTGTACTAGTGATGACTGTTGCACTGATGAGGTGAGTGATTTTAGTAATTGTTGTCATTTATAAATGATGTCAAGCCCTCTGAGTGTAAATAATAAGAAAAAGAATAAAAAACATCTTTTATGAAAGATTTAGTCTCTGACTTATGCTATATTTTTATTTTCAAAAGAAATGTCCAAAAATGATAACTTTTGAGAAAGTTTACTTTTTATTGAATTTTTTTAATGGCTCCCCATTTTTCAAAATAAATTTTTGGTTTATTTCCAGGGATGTTCAGCAGGTTGCAAAGCATGCTCTGGACCCAAGGGTTGTATGTGCTGTAAGTGTACTAGCGATGACTGCTGCACTGATGAGGTGAGTGATTGTAGAAATTGTTGGTGTTCATCAATGATTTCCGGTTTCTTGAGTGCAAAGAAATGAAAATGACTCCTTGAAAATTTTGAAAGACTGCCTCTGTCTTCTTTTATGGTTTCATTATTAAAAAAAACATTAGAACCAGAATGATGGATAAAGTTTTTTGTTATATTATTGCAATTAATTTACCACCTACCCTTTCAAAATAATGGTGGATCTTTTGCCATTTCTCCAGGGATGTTCAGCAGGTTGCAAATCATGCTCTGGACCCAAGGGTTGTATGTGCTGTAAGTGTACTAGCGACAACTGCTGCACTGATGAAGTAAGTAATATTGATATTTAAAGTTATCAATTTATAATAAAATAACCACCTATGGAATTGTTAGTTCATTATAAATCTGTCCTCGATTTCTTTAGATTATCACAGAATTAGCCAGTTTCTTTTTTATGTTGATATGATTTTAATGATTGAATATTAATTTTTTTTTTTGCTCAAATATTTTGATAAAACCATGTTTTAATGTGAAAAATTATATTTCCAGGGATGTTCAGCAGGTTGTAAAGCATGCTCTGGACCCAAGGGTTGTATGTGCTGTAAGTGTACTAGCGACAACTGCTGCACTGATGAGGTGAGTAATGTATTGGGTCATTGTGACCTACTAGATAAAATAAAGAAAAAAAATATGTCAAAAAAACAAACAAAAAACCTTTGAATTCCCTATTTAAATTGACAAAGATATGTTCACAATTTTTTATTTCTAACAGTTTTCTCTGTAGTCAACATATTTTGAGAAAATGATCATATTTTTCCAGGGGTGCCCAGTTGGCTGCAAGAAGTGCTCTGGACCCAAGGGCTGTGTTTGCAAGTAAGATTTAGTGCCCTGCTTGCTCTTTATCTCTCATCAAAGGTATTATACATTACTACAATGGTGCAGGTTTTTGTTCTGTGTGTATTGACTACATTGCTTGTGCAACAGTGTGATTGAAAAGTGATTTGCTACTGATTTACAGTGATTGAGAGATTTAAAAATTAGTTTTTTTTTTTTTTTGAGATATTTGGCAGTTTTTTTTTTTTGATACTGCATGTATCAAATATTAGCTTTAACAGTATTATTGATATTTACACACCATATCTGAAGTTAGTTTACATGGAGTATTACATACTGGAAAGCTTGTGGAACTATTACAGTGATAAAATGATTTGCTGAAGATGGACATTGATTGGGGAAAAATCAATGATTTAATTGAGCTCTGATAATAATTTTGTATAATAACCATCAGTTACACTGGAGAATATGAAAATCAGTTATACTGGATAAAATGATGCCTCAAGTTCTTGCAGATTCTTATGCCACTCAAAAGCTTGTTTAACTATTTCTTTAGACAAATGATTCACTAAAGATGAACATTGGTTGGTAGCTGGATAATTAATTGACTAACAGGAGACTTGGTAATTTTGTAATACTGTCAATCATTTCTCTTGAAAATGTGACATATCTTAAATGTATGTCATACTTTAAAAGCTTATGCAACCACCGATATATGATTGAAAAGAAAAATTCATTCCAAGCAAATTGATTAGATAGAAAAGCAAGAGATTAATGGAGACGCTTCGTTAATTGAATTATTATAATCAGTTTTGTAATTATAATCTGTAAAATGTAACATAGGAGTACATGTAGCTTTAGTTTTCTTGTTTACACTTGCTTATGGACATAATTATAAACCCATATAATCATATTATTTGCAACAAATAATCAAATTTTGCCAAGTAGAAAAAAAATAATAAATTGTAATTTTTCCATAAAGATTATAATTTGAAATTATCCTGAATTTTGAGCAGAATTGTTTGTATTTCAAATTATTAGTTTTCAAAAGTTGTGTAAAATTATCTTGAATGTTGATCAAGACTGTTAACATTTCTTTTCATTTGTGGACCAAACATTTCTTGAAATAAAGTTATTCCAGTTGTTTAAATTACTGTCTTTTTAATTTTACTCTTTTTGTGCACTTTCCCATCAATTTCTTAACAAACAAACTTAGTAGGTTGGATAAATTCATTTTCTGGTCAAATTATTTAGCTCAGTCTAGTTTTGAAAAAATTCAAAACAATTAGGAAATTGATATAAAAGTAATAATTGTATCTTATAAAGATGTTAATTCCTCCTGGCATTACCATTTCTAAATATTTCAAACAAAATCTGATATTTTATGAACTTTTTATAAAACAGAAAAATCTGTAAAAGTAGGAATACTCAACAAATTGAATGTGAAATGTTAACCCATTGCTGCTTACTTATTCTTTCAATAAGGAAAAAAAATCAACACCAAGCTATTTTTAATAAGTAATTTATTTCAAGGCAAATTTGTAATTTCTTACAAATCACATAACAGTTTCTGTCATATAACATATCCATATGTGGGGCTTAGTAAAAATGAAGACCTTTGGGAGAGGGCATGATGAGAATAATAATGACAACGATGAGCAAATTCCCCCCCCGAGTTCACTTGTTTATAGAACTCGATCGAGGGGAAACGGATTACTTAATCTTAATATACATATCTACATTGATCTCTCTGACAGGCCCCGCTATTAAATATACATGTTCAAGGCTAGGCCATCTATTCTGGCCAGGGCATGGATAAGATATTACACTGTATCTTAGCAACAAAAAATAAAATCATATTGAATGTCATCAGAAAATAAGCCTGCAGAGCATATATGGAATTTTCCGCACATGAACCTCTTTTAAGAAGTACCACAGACCTATGATGCAGGATAGTGTTTGTACCAAATTGAGGCCCCTGTGCGGTTAGCGACCGAAGAACAACTAAATCGCTCTCCAAATAGTCAAGAAAGATCACCACATCATACCTCATCTTACATCTTACCTATATAAATCTACTGTTCTCGTAAAAAAACTCAAATTCAATTCATCCTAACTAGGACGCTGTGAAAAACCATGGCATAATCCAAGCCACAAGCAGCATTGTACAACAAGCAGCTGCTCCTCACTTGCCTTCATGCCTAGCATATCATATTATGCATTACAAAATCACATTATTTTCTTGCCTATTAATACAATATGCAAAACTCTACATATTTGGCTTATACATTGTTAATATTGAAATTGGATATAACAGCAGTCAGTTTCATACAGGCACGTGGGCAAATATACTTTCCTCATACGTCAGGAGAGGGATTGTGTTGGATGCACACCTAACACATTCTCCAACATTTCAAATGCTAACCCAATCTTTACTTCCATGCTGCCTGCTACAACTAATTGAAACTGACTGCAAAGCACCATTTGAAATATACTGGTCCTTGGACCACAATGTTATAGCTGCTTAATTAACCATCCTAATTGGATTAAGGTCAAGGATATGCCAAGGTCAATGGCAACTGATGAAGTTGACTGATTTATTAGGTTTCTTAAAAGGCAATAAAGCAGATGTTTTGATCATAAGAGAAATTTTCTTGTGCTATTATATAAGTTAACTGCTGTTCTGAACTTATAACATGCCTTGATCTTACACCCGACCTTGAACTTTGAATTGTTTTTTTTTTTTACATTAAGAGATACTCAACATAAAATTGTGGCATGGAGAACTTTTCCTCTTTGTATCGTTTTGCTCATCATTTTGCTAAAATACCACCACTAAATAATTGTATGTGATATGTTATTGCAGATCACTGTGAGTGTGATGCTTTTTAAAATATATCCTTCATATGACTGACTAGTCTGAACCGTTTTATATTAATTGTTACAGGAAATTTTTATTGGTAATGTTGTGACATATCATAAGGTGCAATAACTAATAATGTCTAACATCCCTATCTGGTACTACAAAGATCAATGGTCTTCATCAAGGTCATTATCTGACCTTGATATTATCTGACCTTGACCTTCATCTAAGGTCGAGTGACAATATGAAAACTGCACATGCAATAGGTACTTATTGGATAATTGTCCCCTCATTTCAATACATGAATCATAATAGAAAATAAATTGCACATAAAAATTTTGTCATCACCTCTTCTTTGAGGGGACGGCTCCCTAATACTGACCCGATGGCATCAATTTAGCACAGAGGATGGCAACATTTTATTCTACTAGTTAATATCATCTAAACACATGGGGTTGATCTGCAAGTAGTTGTATAAGTAGGTACAAATATGGAGGAAATGAAATGTGCCCCTATTGAAGATTCAAGACAGAACCAAATCAAAGCTCAATAATTAAAGTAACTATAAAACATACCAATGGTTTTATAACCCAGGCAGGGGAAATCAGCCTGCAAAACTCTTGCTCATAATATCATTCACGTTTCCCCTAATCTACATATATCACTTATAAAATAATGCCCCATGAATCTTCATAAGATCAAAGTATTTTTTCTTGTAAAAGTTTTCATTCAGCCTCATTATATACATAATCTTAATAGATGGATGCCCTGTATGGGAATTCAATAGGAGGGACTTAGGTGAGCTAGGTATTTGAATGCACAGGCGCAGTCCCTGCATCACATGCTTTGCTTTCTCATTTTTAAACTCTGGAGCATTCCATGGAGAACTCAATAACTCCCAAGTTCAGTAATCCATTCGCATTCAAAATGTTTATTTGTCCAGGCTGAAAATTACTGGTCTTCTACATTTTGTAAGTGAAATCCAATCCACCAATGGATATCCGAAGTAGCTATCCATCCAAGACTACCTGGAGTGGGAAAGTATCCATGGATACCTGGTAGGGCAATCCGTGCACGGATACCTAGAGTTGCCATCTATCCACGGATACCTGGATAAGCAATTATACAATATGATATTCATCCCAACTCCATTCACCAAGCTATCTGCACCTTTTATAGTCTCCCCTTTTTTCTGTCACGTAATGCTTTGAGCAAAATCACGGGGGTCTGTGCCCCAAAGTCGTCCATTGTATCTCGTATAGTTCATGTTCACAGTAACAGATGTACAGCTATATGTGTATATGTTACAATGAAGGATGATGATGATGCAGTAAATGGCCATGAATAGAAGCATGCGTAAGATGTTTATAACAGTAGCAGAAAATTGTCACCACAGCAACTGGTTTCCATAGCAGTGGTAACCATGGTAACATCATGACCATGTGAACCAACGCTTCCTATGTTCTTTAAAAAGAGCATAGACATCCAAGACACTGTCAGTGGCACACACGTGGCAAAAGTAAGTGTTTTTTTGCCATATAAACTTTCTAGCTTCTTACATCATTAGAACCTTTCCATCTGGAGAACTATCCACTCTCTTTATAAAAAGAGGTTCAAGGAGCTGGTGCTCCAACCACGGTCCTGACTTACTTAAGGTGTGATTTGTTGAGTATTCTCAAAACTTTCATATCCATCTGTCCTCTCTTTGTAGGAAATACAGTTTTTGCATTCCAGAACCAAGTCTGATGGCAAACTGTACCTCGGCTTCCCAATTACCATTCAGATCCATATCAAATGTTCTCTCCTTTGATCAAAGGTCAAAGAAAATCTACATCCATTCTCATACTTTCTGCCAGGAGTAATCCAATAATCTGCAGTCATACTCCACAGAAATTCTGCAACCTTCTGTATATCTCATGTAACTGCTGTGATGACTTAGAATAATGATAAAAATGGCAACTGTGAGCATAGCAAAACTTGATGAAGCTGCCCATAATGGCGGCATTAACAGCAACTCTGGCTGCAACGATGGCGGGGCTATGATGATGATGTAGGCGGCTGTGTCTGCGTCTGTGTCTGTGATGACAGTTTCTGTAGAACCTCTGGTGGCGCGGCTGCCTTCAGGACATTGTTCTCTTGCTCCAGCTGCTGGTTTTTCTCCAGCAACTCCTTGATCTGCTCCTTCAGGACGTCGACCTCCTCGCGCACCGCGAACATCAGGTGGCTCTTCACCAGGTCCTGTAAAGAAAGAAAGAAAACCGCCATCAGCTTTATTCATATTTCAAAGTATTCGAGCTTTATTCACATTTCAAAGTATTTGTTATACCTCAATATAAAGGCATGGACATGTTTTTTTTTTAATCAACAAACATTTTTGTTATCCAATTATATTGTGTTCTTGATGATTCTTGGGGTCTTATCAGAATTCCCCCGAGATTCTGTGGAAAAAGCATATGTCTGAATACGGTACTCATTAACACACATTTTAGTGCTCAGATTAGACACATTACAGCTCTTAGAACAGATAAACAGCTGGAAAGAAAATCAGGAAGTAAAGGGTTGAAAACAATTCACTTCTGTACCGAATTCTACGATAAATATTCAACATCTAAATGTGTTTTTTTGCAAGCCGAGAAAGAGAGCAAACAGACCACTGGACTAACTTTATGTATGTTTTGATTCTCAGTGAACAGGTACACAACAAGAAGAAGGCATTTATCATATAATATGTACAACTGACTACAAACTGATTTCTTCACTGGAGTTCTACACAAATACTTCAATCCATGAATACTTCCTTTCACAAAAATAGCTAACAAATTATGCATGGAAATTCATCCCAAACAGGGTCACCCTGATTCAACTGATAATAAGACAGCCTTGAGAGTGGTTTTTATTTTTACATTTATTTTGCCCTTAAGCAGAAAGAACACAAGTGTCTGGGACACATGTCCCATTGCCGGGTGATATTTAGCGTTCTTTCCTGTTTATCTCCACTGCAGTTGGTTTCTTGAAGATACATGTGTTTCTGTGTAGTGAGAAACATGTTTTTCTGCAACCTCTCTTACCCCTAAACAGTTTTCAGCTGGCAAGTTTTTCTAAATTTGATGCTTGGATTAATGAACAAAATAGGTAGGAATGTTTAAGGGTAGGAGAAGCGTGTACAATGGTGGCCTTTTTCTTTGAAATGCCTTAATGCTAAAAGTCATGATAGATTTGACGCTTGCAGTAGCAAGGAAATAATTTCCAAGCATGGTTTCTTCCAACCTTTCTCCCTTAAAAAAGATCTTATGTTAAAGGTCTTGCAAAATCTGACGCCTGCAGTAGGAAACAAAGTTATCTCTAGAAATGCTCTTATTTAACTTTTTTTCGCTAAGGTCGCATTCACAACCAAAATATGGCCGTCCACTCAAAAGCTTGCTGTGTAATCCCCGCTGAGACTCTTTTCAGTGTCTATGAGGGGATAATGCGACAAGCTTTCAAGTGGGTCAGCCATATTTGTTCGGCAGATCTGTTAGTCCATGGATCAACATGTTCTGAATGTACCCTGAAAAAAACTTGTTAAAAAGTGATGCCAAATTTGATGCTTGGAGTAGGAAACAAAATAAGTGTCTAAGACCTGAGCATCACTTGGTCTGATTTATGTGCCATTTCTCAATTAGTTACCAATGAGCCAAGGTTGGAGTTTTCTTATCAGATTTGGCAAAGGTGTGGTATCATATTTTGAAAACCTTTCTGTTTAAGCTTCTGCAGCACCTTGCAGCCTGAAGCAAGATTAAGGTTTAACTGAATAACTAGCTACTACATGTAGGAACCCATCTTCATGTTAACTGACAAGTTTACTCCTGCAAGCATATAAAATACTTCCCAAACCCAGAGATAATTTTTGGATACAGAAATTAAAGCATCTCTTATAGTTCTGCAAAGTTTAACAAAGCTTGACTCAAGTTTTAGTTGAGATATTTTTGGTTATCTAGCTGATACAAAATGTATACTTGAATGAGCCCAGCTTTGACTAAAAAATTCCATTTAAAGTATATGCCTTTCCCCATCAGCCCCTCAGGACTGCATATCTCCACTAAGATACCTAAGGGAGTAAACAAAAGAACCTGAAAATGCACTTTTCTTAGGTCTTCCTACCACCTGTCTTTCTAAAATGTGTCTATGTGATCGACATGTGAGATCTCCAATGTGCCGAACAAGTTACCTGTAATACACTACATGTACTATTAAACCCAATTCTATAAACCAAGTTTTTTCTCTAGCTAATGGCATATGATAGTATGACTATAATAGATCATCTGTCTCAATGTGCATGCCTTGCATGCTTTTTTATAATAAACATACTGGGATAAAACCACAATAGAGGAGTTCCACCATTGCAACGTTACAAACACACCTGCTCACACACCTCCTTGATCATGCTTTTTTTTTTTCAAATATTATTTTCATTAACCACTGTTGTGTAAATTCAATAAAACAGCAATTCTGGTGAAGAAGATGTCTGCATTTGGCTTAGGCTAAAACAAAACACAAAAATCTTGAAATTGCCGGTGATCCCTATAGAAAGAGCACTCAATCCCTTCCTCTAACCCCCCCTCCCATCCCCCCAAGGTCACCTTGCCTACCTAACCTTAAAGATCGTTATGTTATCTATAGTGCTATTGCGTATAAAGGTAGGCGATAACTGCCTCAGTGTTTACTTTATTTTCTGGGTCCCACCCAAAAAAACCTGTTCCACAAGCCAAGGTAACGTGAAAATGACATTTTCTAATGAGTGCTCCCTGAATGTCTGGCGTGCCGTATGAGATGAAAACTACAACCCTCTTTGCCATGAAATGTAGTATAATTGAAGCCATGATGCAATACCGCTGCTTCCCTTTTTTCTTGCCATATGCAGTTGAATGATGGGAACATTTTGAAAATAGTCTTTTATTGAAGCATGTGCCATTGACAACTGCAGGTTTCTCAAATTCTTTAAAATAAATCTATTCAATTGACTCCTTTAACGTATCTCCTTATAAGCAGCTTTCTTGTTTCCTGAGTAAATCCATGAATGCCCTTATGTGTTTCATAAAATACCCGCAGCATTCTGTCGTTTTCTAAAATGGAAATTAAATACTAATTTCACTGCTGGTATTATGGAAATATACCCGCTATATCAGCCAAACGTCAAAACTCACTGTTCTTATGATGTCTGAATTCAGCTTAATGAAGTGATATATTACCCGACTTTACAGGCAGTTGTATCATGATGTTTATACAATTATAAAAACAGTGTCTGGCTCCTCGATATACACTTTGCACAAAAAAGATGAAGCAAGCAAAGAAGGCCTTGATAAAGTGAGATTTCCTAAACTTGCAGGCAGTCGTCTAATAAAGGTGTAAAACATCGTAATTAAAAACAATTCACCCTATTATATCATGTTTTGGCAAATGGCATGAAAACAAACCATGGAGAAACATTTTTATCATTGTGTTAGACATTGTATACCATAGCAACCCGGATTGTATTAAACCCATGGGCAATCAACCTTATTACTCTTAATAAGAACACATAGAATTCACACAATAAGGGTTCATTACACTGTCATAAACATTGATTTTTTCAGCCAAAAGCTGCACAAATACGTATTGCTAAATTCCAATAATCTGATTATTTTCCATTTTATTCTCTCTTGGGTAGTTGCATCATGAATGTCATACCTAGGATACAATACATCCTTTGTTTTTGCTGACTCAGAATGATGCAGACTTTGTCTAGAAAAAGAAAGTCGTAATTGCTTTAACTCAGTATAACATCTTTGCTTCAGACATTTCTCAGTGCAATAATTATGCTCTAAATAAGTCAGATAACATTTTTTCAATATTTATTTTTACCTAGAAGCATCCTCATGGCTACAACCTAACCAGTTCGAGAACTGTTCCAAGACACTTTTCGACAAAAGAAAAAAGTCTACATCTGACATCTGTGACCCACGGCCATCAACATGCACAGATAAATTCTTGTTCATTTTCACTATGAGCACAAAAAAAGTAACATATCATACAACAAGTGGGTATAGTATAAGTGGGAAGGGGGGGGGACTGAGAAGATAAAATGAAAAAATCATTTTCATTTTCTTCTGACAGTTTTTGAATGCACTCCCTTTCTGGTGAATGACGGATAAATGTAAGCAGATTAAACGACATCATGATCCGTTTTCTTTTTCACTTTACGAGCTGACAGCTGCTAACGAGGCACAGAATGTGTCAACAATGTATCACTTACGAGTTCGCCAGGGGTGGAAAGACCTCATACATTTCATTTTAACGCCTGGTAGGTTGACAGCTATGATTCCCAGGGGCCAAGGACAAGCCCCTCCACAATTTATACCCAGTACCCCATGCTTTCTATGCCTCTCTTGACACATGAACCAGAAGGATGTCAACAGTAATTTTATTATTCTGACTTCTGACTGGAATCTCTGCAAGCTTAAAACACAATCTCTTTTTGCAAACTTAAACTTAAAGATAAACAAAATACCTTTCTCCAAATTTTCATTACTCTCTTCCAAGATCAATATCTTTCACCTCATGAAGCTGAAAACAAACAAAACATTTTCTTCTAGCTGTCCTTCAAGTATAATGTTTTTCACCTTGACAATATTATACAGACAAGAGAATATAGCAGGAACCGGTTTATGAGTACATAAACTACAGCATCAATTTATGCTTTCTCATTATTTTTGTTGACATTGGCCATATCAGTTTCCTAATAGTACAGGGGGCATCCTTTATTATTTTTTTTCTTGTCAGGCACTTTAATCCTTAGATGTTCAAAATAACTTGACATACTCTAAGCTTAAGTAACGGTAAACAAATAACCCTGGTGAAAAAATAACTGAAAATCAAAAACGATTTGTCCTCGATTTGCCCTCGTGTCAAAATAACCAAGGCTAAACTGGGGGCTGGATTTGAACTGAAGGAAAACGGAGGTGACTTTTGAGATCTCAAACAAAAACTTTCTTTAAAAACTGGTCCAGATTTGCTCGGATAACAAATAGCAGCTATGTGTCAAGCGTCGTTTAATTCTAATCAATCACATTTATAAGTCAACTTATCCTGATCTACTTCCCCTAGCTACTCAAACAGAATAAATTAAACCACAAATCTCTATTTTCCTTTTTTTATTTTTAGCACAGGTATACAACTTCTGACCAAAAAAAGAGGACAGGTTCAGTTAGGGGTTATAACAA